AGGTGTGAATGTGAGTGTGCTTGGTTGTCTGTCTCTAAGTGTGGCCCTGTGATAGACTGGTGACCTGTCCAGGGTGTCTCCTGCCTTCACCCTAAGTCAGCTGGGATACACTCCAGCCCTCCCGCGACCCTCGTGAGGATTAAGCGGTGTATAGATAATGGATGGATGTATGTTAAAAGAAATGAGACATCCATCCATCCATCCATTTTCTATACACCGCTTAATCCTCACGAGGGTCGCGGGGGGGCTGGAGTCTATCCCAGCCGACTTAGGGCGAAGGCAGGGGACACCCTGGACAGGTCGCCAGTGAAATGAGACATTTCTACCCTATATATAAAACAGTCAGTCTCAATATAAAAACAGCTGCCTGATATTGTGTGAGTTTCCTTTATGTCATGGGACATGTCATGTCATGTCATGAACATGGGACGTCTCTTGGTGTCCCATGTTCTTTGGTACCGGTACGCTGGCAGCAGATCTGCAGGATGCTTTATCAGATTGGAGGTCACGTGGACTCTTTGTCATTCCTCGAGTCATTGTTGAGCAGCTTTTGCAGGGTGGTGCAGGGTGCATTGTTCTGCTGCGGAAGATCACTGACATCAGGGTGTACTGTTACCATATGTGGATGTGTTTGGTCTGCAACAATGTTAGGAGAGTGTCACATGCCAGCGTGACATCAATATGAATGCCAGGACCCAAAGTTTTCCTGCAGAATATGCACTGTAGGAGATAATCAGTGTTATACACTTTACCTTTCAGTGGAATTAATCAGTCTGTTCCTTGCCATAAATATTAACCCCTTCCACCCTTGAGATCCCAGTACCAGGACGAGGCCAAATCCACGTTAAAAACACAGTCTGTGCCATTTTTTGACTCACTGAAGAAGCCGCCTGTACCGCCATGACTAAAATGGATGTAGCATTTGTTGTGCTTCATTTCTGTTGCACGACATTTGGTAAAGTTGCAGAAGATAATTTTTGAAACAGGTTCAAAAACATCAGCATCTACTGGCTCATTGTTATAAGGCCATTTTCAAATACGTAGTTTTGATTAGGCAGAAGTAGCTTTTCAAATCTCCCTATGGCCTGGTGAGGAGGATAAGGAGGCTTATTTTATTTCAAAATTCTCCCAAGTGTCTCTGATCCACAGAGCCCAAGGCCATTCATTTTGGCCTCACAGTTTGCTGCTGTTACTGAATAAATTCTGGGATGTTTTTTCGGGTGGAAATTTAAAAAAAAAATAGCAGTGGGCTTACGGGGTTAAGTACTGTGCATGTTAAGTATCAGATTAGTCACAGTGGCGGAAGAGGCACTCAAGGAGAAAAATATTCAATTAAAAGTAAAAGTTTAGCTTTTGAAATTAGTAGGTAACATTGAGGTGGAATCACCAACAAATATATAAGAGCAAATGACATATTTCTAATATATTCTAGTGTAAGTATTAAAAAGGCAGTAAATATCAACTTAGCTTGATGGGAACACTCCTCCTCACTGAAATACAAACACTTTCTAACAAATATATAAACAGCTGACTTTCACCACCCATAGAACACACCACACAGGCTTCAGACAACATGTCAGCTTTGTCAAAACTGAACTGGTCGCTCTCTCTGCAACCCTGTCTCAGATGCCTCGGTCAAGGGGTCGTGAATAAGCTATCAAAGATCCTCAGCCTCAGCAGCTCTTTCTCTGCTCATTCATTTGTCTTCTGGGTGATCCCTCCACACTTCAAGGCAGACAGCAGCTCCAATTTTAGCTGGGACAAAATTATTTCACTGGAACGACAGAATCCATTTTTCCATCGTCCACTGGCTCAATCTACTGACCGAACATTCTAGTTTAGAAACTCTCACAACTGTCTCCGCACAACATAATATGAACCATCTTCAAGATATCTGCTCTCTCTTTTTTTTTCACAGAGCTGATCCTGCCTGCCACACCCAAATACTGCATCCATGAAATATTTAGTTTTGACAAACAACAGGTAACCTGATGTGCATTTTAAACACAGTATGCACATCAATAACTGTATCTGCATTGTTTATGAGCTCCTCAAGTAGCATTGGTGCTTAAAATGAAAATACAAAAATAGAGTATTATTATATATATGTTGTCTTAGTGGATTAGTATGATTGAGGAGTTAATGTGTAAGCACCACATTGATGTCAAAGCTGGTTGAGATGGAATGATTTTTAACTGCTTTATCCACCATATTTATGTAAAGCTCTGCAATCAGATAAAAGTGGTGCAGTCTTTAAAATGCTGAGCATTAGATTTAAACAGCATCTAAAAATTGTGCTTAAAGTTGCGTGGAATGAATTCCAGTAAATCTGTGGTAAAGTAACTGTATCAACACAGTCATCCTCCCATCCCATGTGTAAATCTCAGCAGTCATAGATTATACTTCTGAGTGATATTTTGCCAGGCACTTGGTAATTTCCCCAGCAGTCTTTCCCTCAGTGCCCGAGGTGCTACGCCTGTCCATATTACATGGTTCACACCTCTCCTGCTGCAGACTGACTATCACTTTGGAGGGGAAGATAAAAGGCAAAAAAAAAACTGGACACTATCTCCCCATATCTGTCAGACTTCTGCTGAACAGAGCCCACAGAGGAGACGAGAGGCTCAGCAGAACAATCAAAAGGCACGCTGCCTCCAGCCTAAGCATTGTGTTTTGGTTTTTTTTTTTTTTTTCCACTGACTAACTCACTTTCATTAATAGCCTTCAGATTTAATTACGGCATTGCAGTGAGTAAGACATATAGTCTCCTGCCACATGATAAACTAGAGGACTGGAGGAATTAATGGTCTCCAAATATTGTTTTCTCCTCTCGGTAGTGAAAATTTATGAGTGGATCTGTGCAGAAGATGAAAAGACAGAAGGAGCGGTTCTGAGGTGCAAATCTCGTGCACTTATGTTGCCACATGCAGCTTCAAACAGTAAGCTTTGGGGCATCAACTGCAAAAAATGGTATGTGGGAAATGAGCGCCCCCTACTGCAAGATGAAGATATTAAGGTGAAAAATATAAGAGTATTATTTTTATCTTTCTGTTTATTGCATTACCTCTCTGTTGTGGTGGATTATTGTGAAATAGGGGGAGAAGGAGTTTATGTCATATCCTCTGAATGAGTCAATGTGTTGCAATGTCACAATATATAGAAAGATTTATTTATTTCAAAGCTCCAAAAAGTTATTAAAACACACCAGCGAGCCTTTTCATTGCACAGGGTGATATATTCCTTGGGTACTGTAATTTATTTTCTCCCACATACCCCATCCAGCTGCCATAAATACTCACTAGCACACCCAATGCACAGCTGAAATATACTTACAACTGTTTGAGTTGTTTCTCTGTAAATACAGTGCTTGCCTGATTTAGGAAATCATTTGGCCTTGTTGTGAAAATAAAGATTTATGATTTTTAAAGATGTTTCAAGTTAGAAATTAACTGACTTGGGCTGAGTGTCACCGACAGGCTCGGAAAGCTGAAAAGTACTGAGAGGCAGAGCAAGTTGTTGATTTTGGTATCATCATGGAAATTGTTACAGAAACATATAGCTGCTGATTCTATCTTTAAAATTCCTCAAAAATACACGTTTTGGTAGCAAAAGAATCACCCTGTTTTATCAGTATTGATACACTAACATAAAGCCTGTACTGTAATGTTGCTGGTTCATGTGGCATTATGGTTAATTTTATATACATTTAGATTGTAAATCTGCAGAAATGTATCATGTTTCTAACTGTAAAATATGTGTAATGAAATATCCAATGCTTTCCTTGAAAACTGTAGCATGAATAGGTATGCATTTGCAGAAAAGTTCCAACGGTTAAGTAAGGTTTAAGTATCTGGAAACTCTAACATGTAATACTTGAATGAATGCATATGATTTCCATTCCACTTCTTTATCAGCAATCGTTCTCTTTTCATTGCTCCATTGTTCCCTATGTCCTGAGGTCTTTAGTTTCTTCCCCCGCTCACATTGCACCCATATACTCACACCTACACAAACACATTCACTTGACTTTCAGAGTTCAAGGAATGGGGCTTTTGCAAGAGAACGGGGGGTGGAGGGGGGGTTCAGAGTGTGTGTGTGCACATTGTGTTACATAATTGATGCTCCATATTACCTTACATCCTCACTGCCCCGGCTGCGCTACAAACAAAGCTTGCTCATTAACTATTCACTGGATGATTTTAAACAGAAAAATGATTCTGCGGATCCGGAGCGCGCTCTGACGCTGTGTCTGTCAGCCCCCGGCATCTGATTTCACAGTTGTGAATAAGACATGTGCTGTCTCCACTGGTCATATTTTAACTCGACAGCAGATCCCCTCACGTGTATTCAATGGTCAGATGATGAAGCACTCTCACATCAAAGCCATGAGTGATGGAGACAGTAGCAGGCTGCACATTTAAAACAGGGCTATTAGTGGAGACGCTATAGATTGTATAGGCGGCAAAGTGGACAAATGCACAAACAAAAATGTAGGAGATTTAAGAAATGATATCTGAATGTATTCCTCTGACTTTAAGTTTGGCGTTACCTGCACATATTCTCACAATGTGCCCATTTTGTTGTGTTTCAGGTAAAAAACTGAAGAATATAATGCTGCTATGTGTAGTACAGTTATTATGTGCTTAAGATGTAATGAGTTAAACATACTGTTAACATCAGGAATCACAGCCAAGGTTGTATGTATGTAGCCAAAAACCATAAATGCAAACTTAATTTAGTTTATTTTGAAATCTTTGTAATCTACAATATAGTAAGATCGACAGATAAAGTTCATATACAGTATGTTTCAATGTTTATTTAAAAAAAAATGAAAATACACCTTTTGACTTTTTGCATTTGACCAAAAAGTGTTCACTGAGTCAAATATTGTTAAAAAATCTGTAGCATCACTGCTTTTTCACGGTGCCTTTCCAATGATGAGGATGCTCATGAGGAAAACCATGATGAAGAAAATCCACATGAAGAACCTGTCCATCACCTTAGCTATCTTCTTCCATTCCGCCCCTTTGGCGCATGTGGCCCTCTGCTCTCTAAAACAGTTTGCAATATACTCAACATTGCGCACCAGTTTGGTGTCCACACCAGGGATGCCACTGCCATGGCTGCAGAACACACAGGGGCCGAATGTGACAGTGGGGCCTTGAGGTGGAGGCTTTTTGTCTTCAGGGCAGCAGGGAATCTTGTGGTCCTCAGGATAACACGGCACCTTCTGGTCCTCTTTAAAGTAGTCACTCATAGGGATTTTACCATTAACGCTTTCATACTTTCCAGGTGCAAAACTGGAGAGGTGGCTGTTCTCCTCTCTGGTGATGTGGTGCTGGACTCTCACTCTGTGTTGCTGTTGCGGTTTGGGAGTCTGAGGTCTGGGGTATCTGTGACTGTGCCGGTCCTCTCGGTTGCTGTGTTTCCCAGGTTTACCATTCGCATAATTGTGAGAGTTGATTTGCTGGTGACGGAATTCATCCTGGGTGGAGTGAGAAGAAGACGAGGACGCAGATGCACAGTTCTCGCCCACTTCGTAAACACAGAAAATCTTGGACATGTAGTCGATGATGAGGACTTTAGCCCAGTGTGGAACTGGTTTGGCCTCCGCACCACAGAAGTGAATGTTCATGATGAAGATAGTGAGCGATGTGGAGGCAGTGACCATGGTCATGGTGGCAATGTAGTACTTCCCTGTTTAACAGACAGCAAAGAGGTTTCCTGTTAGAACTCTTAAAAAGAAGCATTTTACAGCATTAGTCCTGTGTTGTTACGAAATTCCCTCACTACACAACTGTGATGGTGACGTTTTACTCGAATACAAAGCCACATGAGATGGTATGTTTATATACAGTCGATGGTCTGTATTGCAGTCAGCACTGCTATGAGCTGAACATGAATAGGTTGTAACATTGTAATGACAATGGTGACATTTGGCAGGTAAAGTGTTTGTTAAATTCGTCATCTTAATTAGACATAGCAACCCTCTAAACACCAAGTGGTTTCTGGGCATATTTCGCTCCTGCCACAATTGTACATACTGTGGGCTTATTTTTCACTGTTATTTAAGTAGAGAGCGCTCAAAATGGTCCAATGTCATAATACTATAAAATCTGAAATCTGAATCTTTGTGTACCTGTTTTACAAAAAAACAAACAAATAAATGAAATAATAAATGGAATCAACATTTACAAAAAACTTCCCAAGTGCCCACAGGTATTACCAATACTGCATAGCACACGGTGTTTCTACATACTTTAAATTTTACTGCTTACATTTTTAATTTGTCTCCATACTTGTCTCCTCTCTGCTCTGTGTGTGCACAGCCTGCAGTTCAGCCTAATTTAGACAAAAAGGTCTTGAATTATTGTCATGTGGTCACAGCTGAGTCAGCCATAGCTTCATAGTGGTGCTGAGGAAGGCAGCCGTTTTTGTTTTTCAGTGAATCTGGTTAGAGCAAGCACCTTTGGTTAATTGTTTTTTGAGACATGCAAACTAAAGTGATTTTGATTAAATGTCTGGATTTTAGGTTTGCGTTTGGGACAGTTATGGACCATTAGATAGCTGAAAATTCATAATTCATCTGTATGTGTTTATAGGTTCTGGCTTTGATAAATGGTAAAATATTGGCATTTTTTGAAAAGATAGCATTATTATCTTCTTGTAGATTTTGAGAGGGATAACATCCTAAGATTTGCTAATTCGAAGTAAAAACAAAGTTCAGCTGAGGCTGTTGACCATGGGATTCGTATCTGGACATATTCTGCCATTTTCCATTGGATAGGCTTCGTAGACAAATATTTAGATTAGATAGCACTTAGATTAGATAGAACTTTATTGATCCCTTTGGTAGGGAGCCTGAGGGAAATTGTTTAACTATTTAAAGTTGTATCTGAAAACCTCAAAGATCACCAAAGTTATTACAATTCATCTAGTGGGGCACAATAATAACAATAATTAAATAAAAATCAAAAATGTCAGTGTAGTGGCAGTGCAAGCCCAACTGACAGGATTGAAAGCTGCTATAAGAATTCCATAGATGCTACAATCACATTCAAATTTAATACAAATCAGTTTAAACGCTATCCTACACAAACACCTTCTTACCTATAAGGGGCACACTCTCTGAGGGGGGCATGCTCTCAGCCACCATTAGTTGAAACACAGTCAGAGCCAGAAGAACCGTCACCCCGAGGGAAACCTTCTCCCCGGAGTCTGCAGGCAGGTAGAAACCCAAAGGAGCCAAGAAGGAGATGAGGAAGCAGGGGAGGAGGAGGTTGAAGATGTAAAAGGAGGAGCGGCGCTGCAGGAGCACTGTGTAGGTGATGTCTGGATACGGGTCGGAGCAACAGCCGTACATTATGACATTCTTGGTGGCTGGCATCCCGTGGCACTCCCACTCTACATTTTCCACAAAGTCTGACAGGTCACCGCTGTCCATGCCCATAATGATGTCAACCTGGAATAAAGATCATCAATGAGTTACCACCACCTCCACCCAATTAATACTAATGCAATGGGCAAGAGTATATATGCGTCTGATTTTCATTTTAATCTGGCCTGTCTCGGTTACACCCTGATCCAACACAGAGGTCATTGTCTCACAAATCATTTAACTGTTCTAAAAAATTTAGACAACACAGATCATCATGGCAAAACTGAATTGAGACAGATTCCACCTATACAGCAAGTTTTCATTGTAAAGTGAATGCAGTCACATATTCACATATGTTCCTCCAGACCTGGTTGCCATTGTAGGTCCAGGAGCCAAAGGTGAGGTTACATTCCTGGCTGTCGAAGGGGAAGTAGGAGACGTCCACGACACAGGAGCTCTTGGTGATGGCGGGAGCGTCCCAGGTTATCTCTCCATTGTAGCGCAGTTTCACATTGGTGTCCATCGGCCCTGAGAAGTCATCGTCAGCTCTAGAGGAGACGGGCAAGTTGAGACAAAATCATAAGTGCCATTGGTGTAAAAGGCAGTAAGGTTCATAATTTTGTGCTTTTAAGGAGGTGAGCTGGAGCTGAGATCTGGAGGTTGGTGGTGAAAATCCAAGACTGAGTCTCTAGCGTTTGGTTGTGTTGACATGCATTGTGTGTTGTGTGTTTTCAGCCCTGATGTGGCTGTGTATTACATACTCTCGCATGGTCAGATACAAGCCAATACAACAGTCATGCAACAAAATCTTTTCTGAGAATGTTTAACATTTTTTGAGATATAAGCTTAGAAACATGCATTTTCCTACATACTTATATATTTTCATGTAGGTTTCAGTTGATTCATTTTTTGACTTAACCCTTTACTTATTTGACAACAAAACTTTCTAAAACTGTAGTTTCAACCAGTTATATATTTAGAGCAGATTAATATTCTAAAAGCTTAATATTCTCATAATGTTTGTATTTTTATGTGTGCAATACGGACTCTTGCTGTGAGTAGTGTTTTAAAATAACACACTTCATGAGGAATTACAATTAGTACAAGTCCACAGATGCCAACAAGAGAATCTGTCCAGTTCCAGTGTTGACTGATAGAAAGATCGGAAAGTTAATGGGTGCAGGCGACGTACGGGCGTACTTGTTATAGAGGACAAGGTCGGGCCTCCACACCAGGCTGCTGGGGATGTGGATGACATCCAGGCCGTCGTAGTCCTCTTTATTCCACTTCAGATAAGCATCGTGCCACGTCTGCCTGATCCACAGGTAGGCGATCAGCACCTGGTTCCTTTCATCCTTCACACACAGTCACAGTCAAACTAATCAGATAAAAATCATCCGCAAAAGCACTCATGCAAATGCACGCAATTATACGTATACGTTTTGTCACTTCTGGGTAAATTATGGGTTTTGTTGATGTGAAAAGAAGTAAATACAATCCCTGCAGCAGACATTAAGAAATCAGAAGTTTCTGCACTGATCAGTTTTACTTAGTAGCTTTAGTAAGGCCCATTTAGCATATATCATAGCTTTTAAGCACTTTTTTTTTAGCGGCCTAGAGTCATTTTGTTCTTGATTTAAGAATTCTTACTCACTCTGAGTTGGGCATCACTTCCGTTTCAGATAACTGTCCCGCACACTAAGAATATTTAGGTTCTCCCCACAGAATTTCATTGATGGTAAAGTCAGGGAGACTGTGAACGACACTTCAAAAGCTAAGGAAATTCATAAAGCAGTTTATGGTGGATTTAGAGGGCATTTGAGCATTGTTGCACTGCATTGTAAAAGGTGTATTTGAGCTGTAGTTGAGAAAATTTGAATGAGTCTCATTTATCTTTCTGTTTTGACGATGACAGTTTACTTCAACTTCTTACATTTTGTATCTTTAAAATTAACAGCAGAGGTGTAAAAAATTGACTCATTCTTCCTTTTGGTATTGTGCGGGGACATCAAGACACCCACATTTCTTTAGCCCAGCTGTTTTCTTAGAGTGGGGCTACAGAGTAAAGAAAAGAACGGTGAATCTATCATGACAACATCATGTTTTACATTTTATGTTTGGGTAAAGCAAAAACTAAAGTTGGAAAAATTGGAAATTTCAACTTCCCTTTCCTTAAAACTAAGTTGCAGCAATGTTTATTTGAGAGGAATCAAATGATTTAAACACATCTAACTAAAACCAGTAACATTATTATTATTTGTTGATTTAATTTTGCTAAACTTAATATCATTGTGTGTTTCCAATTGAAGCATTTAATTTAGGCTGGTCCAACGCTGCTGCAAGGTGGCGCAGTTGGTAGCACTGTTGCCTCGCAGCAAGAAGGTCGCCGGTTCGCGTCCCGGTGGGGGCACCGGAATCTTTCTGCGTGGAGTTTGCATGTTCTCCCTGTGCAGCGTGGGTTCTCTCCGGGTTCTCCGGCTTCCTCCCACACAGTCCAAAAACATGTTGAGGTTAATTGGTGATTCTAAATTGTCTGTAGGTGTGAATGTGAGTGTGCTTGGCTGTCTGTCTCTAAGTGTAGCCCTGTGATAGACTGGTGACCTGTCCAGGGTGTCCCCTGCCTTCGCCCTAAGTCGGCTGGGATAGGCTTCAGCCCCCCCGCGACCCTAATGAGGATTAAGTGGTGTATAGAAAATGGATGGAAATGGATGGTCCAACGCTTCTAATTTTTCAGTGTAAAAGTCATCTTTGTTTTAGTTCTTCATTCTTGACTGACAGCCTGATGTGTTCATCCAGGATTTGCTGGTATTCGGTGGAATCCACTTTTCCCTCTATTTGTGCAGTGTTTCCTGTGCTGCCATATAACTGCACAGTTCTTCAAACACTGCTTCTTCTTGTTTTTTCTCCAAACATACCTTTGTTGATTGGGAACAGAGAGTTCAATTTCAGCTTCATTTGTGCAGAGCACTTGTTTCCAAAAACGACTCTGGCTTATCCAAATGTTGCTTCACGTACTTGAGTCAATGACTTTTGTGATGAGGTTGCAGGTAAGGCTTCCTTTGGATGACTCATGCATGTAGATAGTGTTTGTACATCAATGCTGCACAGCAGAATAATGTACCATCCCTCCTGCGTCAGCTAAACATTCTTGCAGCTCCTTCACAGTCAGATTTTTTTGGCCTCGACTTCCACAGTTCCTCTTAACTGCCATTACTTATTAACATTTCAGACAATGGAAGTGCTTTGATATCTTTTTATAGCCTTTCTCTGCTTTGTAGGCATCGATCAGCTTCATTTTCACATCCTCTGTCAGATGTTTATAGGAGTCTGTGGTAGGTGAGTGTTACCACAAAGTTTAAAGAGTCAGAGAATTTATCGGACTCTTCAAATATCATCCACTGAGTTCTAAAAGCAATTCTTCACCAGCTGTACAAGTTGTACCTGGTTAGCTAAGACCTACAATAAATGAATGAAGATTAGAGTGTTTTACAAGTGAAAAGGGTGCAAAAACTTTTACACAAACCTCGATGAGGTAGTAACAGTAAAAAAGTAACAGTGCATTCACATTTGAGAAAAAGCTCATTTATTTAAAGTCTGTTTTCTGCAGCGATTGCATTTACTTCTTTAAAACAAATCAACAAAATGTGCAATTCGCTTAGGGGTGTACCCAAAGTGTTGCATACAACTGTATATCTACACACAACAGACACCTCGTAACAATAGCTTTAAGTGAGGTCCTCCTAATCTCCTTCTCAGTTCTCTGCTTCTCATCAACATTGTGTAGACAAACAGGCCTCAGATTATCACAACAGCTGAAATCCAGCCCCGTCTGTCAATATCAGGTGGATGAGCAGAGTGACTGGAGGATGAGTGGAAAACATATCCAAAGAACACAATAACCGCTGTGGGTAATAGGACACACACACGCACGAACATGACATGGACTGACAACGACAGACATCCCGGTGAAGCACGGAGACATTCGGTAGTAGAGCTGGTTTTCTATCTTCAACACACACACCCAAACACACGTGCACACAGCAAGTGCTTATTCACGGTGGGGTGACACAGCACTGAACCTGAACGGGAACCTGAACCAGCTGAGTAACAGTAGGCCTCATCTATACAGTAGGAGGTTTGACTGTCATACATGAACATCGGCTTCTGCAAAATAAACCCTTGGGAAAAGAGCAATTATGAAAATTCAAAAATAAAAATAACAAACATTGAACATGACATCCAGTCTTCATGTTTTTGTTGGAGTACCAACGTATCTGTGGTGTAAATTATCAAATGTAGTGACTTGTTTTTGCATGCGGTCTGTTAAATTAATTTCAGGGAACAAGGAAATGTTACTGGAGTGCAACTACAAAAGAGCCTCCATTCATTTTCAGTTCCCTGTTCTCTGGCAAGAGTGTCCTATTTACACTACTGACAAAAGTGCTATGTCATTTTTTTCATCAACTTCTAGGTAGCAAAACAATTTCTCAAAATGCCAGCTGTTTGCTATTAATTCTTATGCTGTTGTAACAAAGAATGTGCTCTGAGTATTTACCAAAAAAAAAGCCACAGTATTAGCCATCAAGAAACTCTCACATATTGTATGATTTAATTTGGAGTTTAATAAAAAGTTTGTATGCCCAATCATTCTGCACTGGCATTACACAGACCTTTCAGTTAAACCATTTAAGCAGTTTGTCACGGAAATATTACAACTCTAACTTAGGAAGGATTATTTTAGCTGTGGGCTGTACTACAATCTGATATTTTCATAACTAGCTTCTTATTAAATATGCAGTGCCCATAAAAAAAAGTATTCACCTCCCTTGGAAGTTTTCCTCTTTTATTGTTTTTCCACATTGAAAAATTGTCAATTTAATTAGGCTTTTTATAGAGTCTTTCGTGTCGACGTGAATACTGATTTTCACACAGTAAGGTCAAATAAAACTAAATAAAATGTAAAATAGGTGATTGGCAACACAAAGCACGTCAAGAGTCATGACCACATCATGATGCTGCCACCGCCATACTTCACAGTAGGGACAGTGTGTTTGTGACGATGTGCAGAGTTTGATGTTCATCAAACAAAACGTCTAGTCTGACAGTCAAAAAGCTTGTTTTCGGTTTCATCTGAAACAAAGAACCTTCTTCCACTTGACTTCACACATACATTCTGACAAACTAGTGGAGGTTCAATATGATCTTTTTTTTTTTTTTTTTAACAGTGGCTCTCCCATTGGCACTGTCCCATAAAGGTTTGCCAGTCGCACACTCTCTCCCATCTCAGCTGCTGAATTTGTAACTCCTTCAGAGGCATCATAGGTGTCTTGGTGACATCCCTCACTGGTCTCTTTCTTGCACAGTCACTCAGTTTTTAAGGATGGCCTGTATAGGCAGATTTAAACATGTGCCATATTCCATGATGGATTTAACAAGGTGAATACTTATGCAATCACTTATTTTATATTTTTAAATAATTGGCATTACTTTGTAGAAATCTGTTTTCACTTTGAAATGGAAGTCCCTCTTTTGGTAAAGTCGTGTCAAAAAAAAATGGCCATGATTAAATGTTAAAAAGCAATATAATGTGAAAACTTCAAAGGTGGTGAGAATACTTTACATAGGCACAGTGTGTAATGAGATTTACTGATGAGCTGGTACCCACCATGTCTTTGATCTGAGAGAGGGTGATCTGTAAGGTAACGTTGAGGGCTCTGTCTGTGTCCTCCACTGGCCGCAGGGCACTGGAGTAATTCTCCATCAAATCATTCAGGAGCTTCTGGGCATAATGACCCTGAGCAGAGTGAGCCACTGCAAGGGGAGGAAAAAGTGGTAATCTATCATTTTCCAGTTTATGACAAGTACTTTTGACCGTAGGTACTTTTCATTGTAGTTCTCTGTTACCATACTGGGATCATTCTGATGTTCAGCACTGTCACCTCTGGCACACCTGCTTGTCAATTAAAACTTTGAAGGAGAATTGTTGGCTGTTTCTTTGATGTGGTTATTACAGATTTTTTTTCCCTATGTATTCTAAGTCCATGAGTGGTACGTGAAGGCTTAATATTTTCTACGCTGTATTGAGGAACTACAGAAGGAATGATTATTTGATGTTTGTAAGGACATTTTAAGTGATCTTTGTTTTGAGTTTACAGATCAAAAAACACTTAATCAGTAAAATTCACTTCCATTACATTTACCAAAGTAGACTGTTTATCTTAATGATTTTAAAAGCCACATGTAAAATTCAGCATCTCCGTAACAGCACTTTACTTCAAAGCCACTGCGCGTAATTACGCACACAGCAGTGCACTTAGATGAACTCAGAAAGTTTCTTTCTTTTTTTCTTGTTTACTAAAAACAATGCAAGCACAAGTTAAAAGGCACTATCTGTGTAACTAATTAAAGATCAGTAAGAATATGTTAATTTTTGTTTTGCATGGAAAGAGTTCGGGCTTGACTCACCTTCAGGAAGAAGCATCGCGAAACAGATTAATGAGATCATCTTGAGCTCATCTAAATACATCCAAGAACAAAAATGAAAGGTAACCTCAGGCAGCAGGCTTACGGTCCTGGGTTTCACTCCCGGATTGGCCTACATGATGCCCGTTCAACCCCAATTGAACTCGGCTGCAGATAGCAGGGCGCCGTTTCCTCTGGCCGTCCTCGCGGTCAGGACAGGTTTTACTGCTTGGCAGGGGAGGCAGCATGTCTGCTGACTGAGACACGGAATAAAACTCCGGCTATCACATGGCAGAGGCAGACCGAGAGAAACAGGATGCCCACGAATCATCGCCTCACCACACACGCGGCTATTCACCTGTCAGAGGAGCGCAACCAGGTGGGCTGCAGGTCTGCTGCTGCTGCTGCAACATTTACGGCCATCACGATTTAAAAAACGGCAATCTGAAAATCTCTCACTCTGTTGCGCTAAATGAATATGCAAGAACGGAATAGTCCTGCTATAAATAAGTCAAAAAGCCTCCAGGAAAGTTACGTAACATGATAGGTTAGTTTTCTGTCTTGAGCCACATTCTGCAAGTTTTATTTTCTACATTAAAACTGCATCTTACTCTAGTCGACTAAAGGTCAGCGAGGTCAGGGACAGAAAAAAAAACACTAACAGACGCCAGAGTTGAATAGGAAAGACACATTAATTTTAATTTAAACTGTAAAAAAATATACACACCTACAACCTCAGGGATTTTCTGCATTGATCATAGAAAAATCAATTATTTAAAAGACTTTGAATACTCGATATTGAAGGTGAACGGATTATAAATCATAGAACTGAAATATGTTATAGCCCTGTGAGTATTTGCAGTATTTACAGGCTCTGTATGTAGGCACCCCTACCTGATTTTTTTAAAAATTTTCCTACTGATAAAAAGTCAAAGATCTCTCACTTCGCATCAATCATTATGTCTGCTCGTTCAACCTTTCCTTTAAATTTGATGCTACTCAGGCTTTAGCAGAAAGAACAGGCCCAAACAATGCATCACAGTTGGACTTCAAACAGAAAGAACCAGCTAAACTAAAACAAAACAAAACAAAAAGCTAAGGAAGTTCCAATTAAATTATTGTTGTACGGTGGAAATTCAACTCTACAGCCAAGCTATAAACTTAATTCTTACATACCAAACCAATCCCTTCAGGATTTTACGTGTACATAGTTTACACTCATACCATAATAAAAGATTAAATAAGGTCGCAAACATCCCTATTAAATCAAAAACACCAGAAGCCTCCACAGCAGTACTGTGGGACTCTTTATTTTCCAAAGAGACATCAAAATGATTTAAATCTACTGTAGCATGGCTGAAACAAAACGTATCTGAGGAGTTAGCGGAGGCCCTTTGGAACCTCCAACACTTCAATAATGCAGTGAATTCATTTGTTTTGTGTGCATTTTAATAACACAAGAAATGATTATCTCAGTGCCATTACACGAGCCAGCGAGAACACCCTTTCAATCTCACGTATTCGTGCTCGTACAATCGACTCTCGGATGCTTAGAGGAGTTCCAGATGGTGGATATAAAAGAGAGATATGCCAACATCCAGCAAGAGGATACAAAATGAGCTTGTGTCACTTGGGATACCTGAGCCGAGGCCGGTTTAGCGTGCAGCAGGTGCAGTGTTATACAGTTAATTCCACGGTGGATACACTAAATACTGTTAATTAGATAACAAACACATTGGTGGTAGCTCTTTTTTTTTTTGCAGCTTGGTGCACGTGTGCAGGCTAAAATAGCGTTCAGACTAATGCCAGGGTTTCTTGGATAGGTTCAACATGACACAACATGCTACCTAACAGGCCATCTGTTATTGTGCTCATGCTCAGTTTCCCCTCACTCTTAAGAAACATGATCTGAACATTATCACAAGTGCCTTTATCGCTTCCTTGTGGAGACTACTTTATATTTGCTTCCTCAAAAAGGAACTTAACGCAACAGCAGTGCAATACTATTGCACTACAGTAAGTACTACTGTGCAGAAAGACTCCCGATATTCACAACCCATGCACATTCTTCATCTAAATTGGCCTGCTTGTTCCATTTTCACTGCAACGTAATTCCCTGTAGGTTTGTTTTCTGTTGGTCTAGTAAATTTAGCACCTCAGCCTAGTTTTTATTCAAATGTATGCAGAGACAAACAAGCTTAGAAACAAATGTTAGGTCCAACACAACAGGATGCATAAATAATTCCTTAATTTATCAAAATAATGACTGAGGATAGTCTTTTGAGAGAAATGACTGATATACTGAATGTTATATTATTGCCATGTAGTTGTTGTTTTTTTTGTCACTGAGATATGCATGCATCACACAACTAAATGTGTTCTTGAGAGAAAATACAGAAAAAAATAGAGAGTATGGATTAATTTACACAGACTTTAATATTTTATTTACAGATGAATCATTGACATATTTATCTGTTGGCGAAGTTAAGATGATGCAAGACTTTTCAAACTCGTTTGGAACCATTTCCATCCAGACTTGTCACAGGTTGTGTTACTGCTGAACATGTTTTTTTGTTTGTTTGTTTTTTCAGTTTAAAAACAAGAATCCAAATGTATTCCTGTAGGAGGCCAAAACCAAATAAAAAAATTTAAAAATGTGTGTGTGGGGGGGGAAGGGACAGGTGAAGTGAGCCATGTCAAGAAAAAGTGTTGGGGAAAGGAAGAGGGAATTTCCTGCAGGAGTTTTGGGCCCGTCAACTGTCGACTGTCAAGGGGTGGGGGTGGTGGGGCTGGTGGGGGGGACGTGGCATGTAAACGAGTATGGCTACTGCGTGAACACCTCTGTGACACTTTGAGCTGCTTTTAAGAACACGGAATAAGCCGACCTGCGCATTTTTTTAAATAATTGCACGCTGTGTATTTGCTTTCTAGTGCACTGTACTGACTTTAACCACGTTTCTATGTGCTCAATTCATGCATTACTACTGCCTGAAAAACTCCAACAATGAAAAAAAAACAGTAGTATTCATAGCATGAAATACCCCTTTGATGTGTAAAAAAATAAAAAAATAAACTAAAAAAAACTATGCAGTGCTTGGCTTCGTGAGCTTGATATGTTCAGTAAATTGTTGTCATGCAGTACCACATCTGTGATGTTAAAAAAAACAACAAAAAACATAATTTATAAGGGTCCCAAATCCTAATTTTCACTTCATCATAGAGTACCGCACACTGTCAAAAGGTCCCATAAGACCATTAAGCTAAAATTTTGCGGTGGATTAGTGAACGAGCAAAGGTAGTGATTATTGGATGCAGTGTACGAAATTTTTTAAATGTTTAGAACTCGGCTTAATCCTTGTTTCGAAAACAGGCCCAAAAGTGTTTAAAATCAGGACCAGGTCCAAAAGAGCCCCCTTGGATGGCTTGACTTTCTCCAACAAAGGTTATCACCAATGAAAGTAAATGCACTGCATAGGCAAGGGTAAGCCGCTGACAGCCGCTTCTCGGACCGAGCCAGAAAAGCTGGGAGATTGGCAGATGTGGGCGGGGTCTTAAGTCTGGCATTTGCTTCAAAGACGGGGAGATATGGTTGGATTTCTGATTGTAGCACTGAGTGGAATGTTGAATGAACTAAAAGAAACCAGTGATAAGAGCTCACAGAGCATTGATTGGAGTGTGGTACAGCAGAGGTGATGAGTACAGAGGAGAGATGCCACACAGAGGGGATAAAGGGGGAGCTGGAGAGGAGGGGAAGTGTGGAGGCGAGGAGTCCACTGTGAAACAGAGGTTGTGATGGGGAGGGACGCCTTCAGACAGCGGGAATTTGGAGGAGAGAGGTGTGAGGAGGGAGAGGTGGGGATTAAGAGGAAGATGAAGAGGGTGTCAAAATTCAGTTACTGAGCAGTAGCTCTGTCGCTGTCTCCACATCCCAGGATTTCGACGACAATGCCACTATTACTGCATTCTGGGGACAAAAACAACACCAGTCACAACTACAGTTTTACTCTGCATCGCAATGCACAGTTGGGGAAAGAAAAAGTTTAAATATGCTTACTTTTTCAAAGCCCATGGCACAGAGTTTGTCTATTTTGCGTGTGTACTCCGGACTGGAGACAGGAGCGCCTGCGTAGACGTGAGACCAGAGTCTCGCTGTCTGTTTAAACATCTCTGGATTCTGCTTGTACTGTGTAGTAAATAAACGTGGAAAAACAACTTTACGTGAATAAAGTTCAGCATCAACAACTCTAACATTTCGTATTTGTATTTGCTTCACATCAAGTTAGAGGTTTGTTTTCACTTGTTCTTGATCACTGTAAAGAGAAAATGGTGCAGATTCCAACTATAAGGAAACATGAAAAGGCTCATTATGGCACAGTTTTTGTTGCATAATAAAAATTATTCATGGCAACAAATTATTATTACATCCCTTAGAGGTAGCACACTTGTGACTCATCTATACTACTGTGTATATCTTGCAACACAACAGATGAGTAATGACATAATTCTGCAACAGGAACTGGGAGACCTGCAGTCTGCCCAGAGCTGCCAAGCTCTCCGTTTCCATGCTGTGTGGGCATTCTTTATTGTAATAAAGAGTGCAGATTTCCTATCATCACAAACTATTAGCAGGGAAACTCATGTAAATAAGAGGAATTAGTTTGAGGCTCTTATCAGATTTTGGACTCAACATACCAAATGCATAAAAACAGCAAATAATACAAAATGTTAACACAGCATTTTTAGCGGAGCTATATAAGAATTTATGATGCAACACCTCCAAAATTGCATAAACAGATCTCAGATTTCTATTTAATACTTGATCTCTGACCAAGTGTGTAACACTATATCATATAAATGAAAAACATTACCTTCACTGGTCAGATACAACATTTAACTACCTCACTGTTAGTTTGTGCGCTTCATTGTGATGTGGGTTGCAAATAGATGACTGTTACTCACTTTACATGGGATTAGTGATTGTATGTAGGTGTAATAATGTGCTCAGTTGAGAAGGATAATCTTTTCACCAACAAAAGCAGGCAAAGGGCAAACAGCTCCCTGCCTACACATAATATTTCAATCACTTTCACATTACTGATGCAGCACTGAATACTATTTAACCTGTAACAATAACTCGTGTTGAGCTCAGAAAAAAGGCATAACACATCTAAGCATGTACTGCTATTGAGGGAAACAATCAAAGACATGCAATTGTGAATCTGACATAAATATGTGAACAAAAAAATCCAACTTGCCCATATCAATTAACGCAAGAGGTTCACTCAAGGCCACTGTTTCCTCTAAGCCAAGTGATGAATAATGCATCACGTTAATGTTATAATCATTATGAACAAACTTCCCCAGTGATTTTTAGTTAACATGAGAGGTTCTGAGGATGTAAGAAGGAGTCTTCCATATTTTACAAGTACAACAGTGTGTGCCAGGACATCTTATATATTAATATCTAAGGTATTTAAATGTCTCAACATTTAGTTTATACACCGGTGTTCAAAGAAAGTGCATCACTCCTGAAAATTGCAATTGCCCTCTGAATAACTTATGTCTATGACAATATTTCTAAGAGATTGCATCAGATAAGATTGACACACAGGCAGTGATGTAATCTTGCATCAGCTGTGGCTTTTTACAAGGACGCTCTGCAAGAATTGCAGTCGTTCCTTGCTGGTGTCAGGATGGACTGTGGTGAGCTTTTCATTTAGTTTTTCACTTGAAATGATCGACTGAAGCAACTTGAGGCCTTCTGATACTATTAACTTTAAGAATTGTTGAGTTTATATTTATTGTGTGTGATTAACTGAACATAACATCCCTAAAAAAAGTTCAAAATACCGAGGCGATACACTTTCTTTGAACACTAATGTATATATTATACAACTTTGTGTCAAGTGGCGACAACAAAGGATTATTTTCATTGTCAGTAATGGGACAATTATTTTCTCGATTCATAATTTAGAATACTGTGAAAAACGGTCATTGCATTATCTTTAAGCTCTACTTAACATAATTAAATGTCTTATTTTGTCTAACCAACAGTATGTTCATGTTAGAATGTAAGATCAAGAAAAAAACATTTTTTTACATATTGAAGCCACTTGATTTTCAGCCCATCAATCGATCCATGATTAAAACTCTACAGCTACCATTCCTTCCGATCCCTTTTACTAGCTGGAAAAACTAACTTGTTTGCTGAGATGCCACAGACACTAAATGAAAGAAGCCAAAAATGACAATATTTTTCATGAGATCCTCCTATGATACTACAATGTTTGGGATGTGATCACTGTGTTTACAGAGGGCATTTTCATTCAAAAACATGTGATAACAATCAGTAGTAGTGGTGTATCAGGTTCAAACAGGTAAAGGAATTCAGAGTTCAAAAGTGTAAATATAAACACACCCACCTGATTGGCTACCACTGCGTCCTGTGGATCATCTGGCTCTGCAGCTGCCAGTAAGGCTTGTAATGACAAGAGGACTGTCCTCAGTGTCATAGCTGCTGCCCTGAAACAACAGACATGCTACTGTTAAATGCAGCCACCACTGATGGCAAACTTTCTTCATGGCCTCTGATATCTACAAATGTGCTTTCTAACCACAATCAAATAGGCTTAATCCAAGTGTGCTTGAACACTTTAATTGAGCTTGATAATAATGGCAGTAAATGTTTTCCACATTACCAAGCTGAGTGATTCATTTTACATTAATGTTATCAAATTAACCTTTGACAAGTCATTATGAGCAACTTAGAAACGGCTATGCCTTTGGTAGGAGAAGGAAATACTGTCTTACACAAGTAGAAAGTATTTCATAATCAAGCTAAGAATGCCAAGAATGCTGGTGCAGATTTACTCACCACTGGTCTTTGAGAATGTCCAGACATATTGCACCTGTGACTGAGCTGATGTTGGGATGCCAGATCTTCGTGATAAACCGCACCTGAGGTATTAATAGAAAAATGGGATGAAAAAAATCACTTGTGGATTAGCACAGCAATGGAGCATTGCTGAAGGGATGATGATCATTACCAATAAGAGTAACATATCCCTACCTTGGGTGGATTGAATGGATACGTCTCTGGAATTTTAATTTCTAGTTGATATCTACCCCCTGAAAGAAATTAAATGGTTATCACAATAATTCAAGAGCGGGGACAGGAATATTTCAAGCATGCAATATAAGGCTGACTGTTAAGACGCATATTGTTTTAACTGACATTACTGAGGATTAAAATTGTTAGTCGGCGAGGCCTTAAAACGTCGTTGTCAGTGATGTCAAATACCACATAACAATATTGTGCAACCATGCATTCAGGTTAGCAGGCGGTGTGTCTACATGAGCCCCTCACCTTCATATGGCGTGTCAGGTGGCCCTGCTATCTCCCCTTTAAGTTCTGTGAAGTTCTCATCCACCAGATCCACCTTTATCTGGTTTTTGCTCGTCTGAAAGGGTGAAAAAGCAAAGAAGCATTAAAACTTCAGCAGACAGACTGCAAAGTGTTAAGCTAGCATGCTGTCAAACACAAACCTGCCTATGCAGCATAAGTTGACACCCCCCGCAGCATTAGCCGAAGTTGACCTCAACTTGTTGCATACATCGTACAGATCCACGTAATAGGCTCACTAACGTAAGTAGAAACGAGTCCATAAAGGGGAAGAGGACTCATGTGAAGAGTGTACTTTAAGTGCCACTATAACACAAAACTATCTTTGCTAGGGCTACCCCTGCTAGCTTAGCGACCATAGAAGGCATGGTAAGCTAGCCAATAATGTTAGCAATATGAACTTGAGGCTTATTTAATACCAATAATGCTTTAAAAATCAGATTTACTGCGTTCAAGCAACACTAACTTTGTTGGCTTTAACCTCCCCAGGGTGGCATTTTAATAGCCAGCGCTGACGGCTATTTGTGAAGCTGGAGGCACAGCCGTGTCTGGTACTGTTAGCCACAGCTAGTAGCTCGGCGATTAGCAAGCTGACAGCTGAGCCAGCGACGCGTCACTTTCATTCAGCCCCGTAGCCACTGAAAGAACAAATAAAAGCCGCCACTTCATACTGCAAACGTGACAACCAACCTCTTCGCTTTTAAGCACCTCCTTGAATTCCCGTTTTATCCTCTGAACTGCGATGTTGGCCATGGTTCCCCCGTGTTCCCGTCCGGTTGGGGCCTCGTCGCCGTCCGACCTGACTGTGGTTAGCTAACGCTAGCTCGTTCTGCCTACAGTCGCTCTGCACTTTTTGGATACAACCTCAAAAATAACAGCTGTACCGTCGTTCGCCGTAAGTGCCGTCAGTCCCCGGTATCAGTGTGGAGTTTTAGTTCGTTAAAATAGGCTCAACGTGTGCCTCTCATCTCAAATGTGTAACAACACAATGGTTGGTGGTACTGAAAACATTTTAATACCAAACTGCATGCAGTCTGGAGGAGAGGGGGTCATGTGACCTGTATTGCCATCCTGAACGCCTTCTCTCATTGGCTGATCTGCTCATGCTGAATAAATTATTATTATTATTATTATTATTATTATTATTATTATTATTATTATAAAAACTATGGGACCAGTGTGTTAGAAAACAAAAGCACTGTGCCATTTCAGATGGCGTTTTATTGCACACCTAAAGTAATCTCAGAGCAACCCTAAACAAAAACGGGGTTTTACACTGTGGCAGATTGCTTTTAATCATTATCATGTGATTGCATATTTTTTCTCCAAAATTATTTAACGTGAACTCAATTCTGGTAAATATTTTGTACTTTATTAACTCCCTCTCCGGTCTTTGGTAAAACCCCCCAAAAGTAATATACGTCCTTTAAAGTTACATATTTAGATGTTTCATTCCATGAAAATAATCCCTTCCTGCCACAAAATTCATGAAATGCAACTGTACATCTATCTCTGTCGCTTGCTGCAGCTTGAGCACACCAGCTCACCTCTGACCCCGCTCAAACTCTGTAAAACTACTCTACATTATGCAAAGGCAAGCTGTAATATTGAAATAATTCAGCCATATACGTTTGACCCAAAAACTGACTCTGAACTATGATACAGAAAGCCTCACCCAGCAAGTTGACAAGATCAGTTCAAAAGGCTTGTCACATATGAAACCCAGAATTTTTGAATGCATTGAGACAGTCCTGTTAAGTTAAGTCACTCTTATTTATATGGCACATTTAGAACAACAGCTATTGAGTCAGAGTGTTGTGCAGTAGAGAAATAAGACTAGCATTGGAAATTTACAAACGACTGGGTTTGAGGTCAAGAACATAATGTGTGATTTATGATGTGAATTTACTTGAATATATTAAATAATATTAAATAATTCTATTAAAATCCAACATTATGTAAAATACAAATTTGACTGACTAATTTCCATCCATTATCTATACACCACTTAATCCTCACTAGGGTCGCGGGGGGCTGGAGTCTATCCCAGCTGATTTAGGGTGAAGGCAGGGGACACCCTGGACAGGTCACCAGTCTATCACAGGGCTACACTTAGAGACAGACAACCAAGCACACTCACATTCACACCTACAGACAATTTAGACCTGACTAATAGTGGAATCAAGATCCTACAGTATTACTTATGAAGATTTAGCGAATTCATTTAAAAATTAAAGTTAAGACCCTACAAAATTATACATGGAACACTGCAGTTTCTATTGTGTTGGCTGCCTAATTCGCTCATGATGCAACTTTTAGCATAATAAACACCATTTGGACATGTTGACAAGGTTTGGAGAAAAAAAAAATCCCTGGAGGGGGTCTTTAACGTGCGTATCACATGCAGTCCCATGAACACTCTTCCATGCCTTCCAGCTCTTTACAGGTTACACAAGTAAACAGTAAACAGCTATTCTCTCATACAGACTTTGAATAAATCAAAGACCTGAAGATTCGCTGGTAAGTTCATGGAAAATGCTTTACCCTTGACAGACCAGACAATCCGCAGAGAAGAACTTTATTAGAAACAACTACTCATTCAAAAAATACGGTAACACAGCAGTCATTAAGATGTGCTTTCAGTTTAGCCGCACTCAAACTGAACTGAAATGAACCCTGCCAACAATCATGCTAACTTTTGAAATGCACAGTTATCCCACTAAAAAGCATCCACATGTATATAAAGTTCTTTTATGTACTTCTTGGTATTCCCCTCCCCCTCTTTCTTTCTTTTTTTTTTTTTATAAACAAAATACACATTCATTTCTCATATCTTTCTTCCATAGACTTCGGTTTCATTTCAGCTGCAAATGATGACACTAGGGGGCATCATTGTCTCACACAGTCTGCAGCAAACAGTAAACACAATGTTGGAATAAAATTAGCGACTTAAAACTCCTTTAAAAAAATTTTTTTAAATTAAATCTGAACTACACCTATAATACACCATATAAAATTAAATTAAAATCACTGATCTGCACAATGGCTTATCATCATCACTCACAGATTTTATTACAATGCTGGGGTCACGGCATTGACTTGTTTTATCCATCCTGAAGGCCCCAGGTGAGATCAGCACTGAGAGAAAGCATGTCCACAACTTTATTGTGAATTATATAGCTCACATAATCAATCATCAGGTTTTGTAAAACAGCGATATGTGAGCTAGCGAGTGCCTTTTAGTATTTATGGTCGATAAACTGTACAAACATGATACAAACAGCTTCTGTAATGGTCCTAGTGTTAATCTCCATCTAAATGTAGAATGGATGTAGACGTTTTTTGTTAATAGTGACTGTCAGTAAACCAATCACACATTTGTCACAACAGCACAAAACAGGCACTAATGGAGCGGACACAAGTATAGGTTGTAAATGAGCCGCACACTTTGTCTCCTACATATTACTGAGACAGTCTTTCCTACAGTTTGCCATGAAGTCGAGGTGGACACAAACACACTGGCGCTGCTTCCCTCCTTCTCCTTTGGTCTATCCTCCTCTTCCCTCTCCCTCTGCCTCCTGTTTGGTTTCTCTTGCTAATGATGACAAAGATGACAAGTGCTGCCAGCATAACAGCTGTTATTAGCAGGCAGCCTCCAAAAACCAGCATTGCTTTGTTCTTGAACATCCACGCACATGCAGAGCAACGTTCGTGCAGCTCAGTGAGCCTGCAGGGCTGCGTCATGTCGCTGTTGGGGAAACCGCTGTGAGTAATGATCTCTCTGTACACAGCGATGGAGGATTTGGCTTTGGATTGGTGTTGGGTGGAGGTGAAGAGGCCAAACTGTGGGACGTGTCGATCCTGGAGCTTCCACACATAGAAGCCCTGCAAGTTGACTCCATCTAGGCGCCAAGCTGAAAACAAATAGGAGTAAGAAGTGAAAGTGAGATTGCTTGATTTCTTTGCTGCATCTAACAATATGAATGTGTCATTTTTTTAAAAAACTATTACAAACTTTGGAGTGTTGATGGTTGTCTCATGTTAAAAAGGACATCATGTTTACATGTGCAAATACAGGCGAGCCATAAAAGGGCAAAGCATGAACACAGCACTAATCAACAATGTTTCTCTCCCTTCCTTTCTGTTTTTATGACCCTCATGGTTTCTCATTAAGTGTGAGGTTTTATAGTAGGAAGCAATAAGGGCATTAAATCTTACTTGTGGGGCTGGACCTCTATAACAACATCCTGAACACTGCCCATTTTGTTCCTACACAAATATGATAGCACAGCACATTCTGGATTTAAGAGTGAAAAGGTCTGAAATGAATGCCCCACCTTTGAGAGCCTCCTGCAGGTAGCTTCTGAGGTAGTACTGCCTGACTGTATCCTCAACAGGCGCCTGATCGTCAACCCCACTTCCTGTGACAATGATAGGCAGAGCTCCTCCATATCTCTGCGTCACCCAGCTCAGCATCTTCCTCAGGCCCCAGGGTACAAGAGCCTGCCCCAAACTGGAGTAGGGCCAGGTGGGATCAGACAGGGTCAAACAGTCATGATCAGGGGACAGCGTCTGCTGAAAACTGGACTGTGTGTGGGGATGTGGAGAGACCAAACGGGTGGTAAAATGGTTCAGTGCAATAAAACTTAATGCCCCTTTCAGCTCCTCCTTCTCAGTCTCAGTAAAACTGGGAAGTGGGGATCCAGGGAGTCCCATTACTCGAGCTCTCTCCTCCAGATACGACTTCATTTCTTGTGGGTAGTCCCCCTTCTGCTGCTTCTCCTCATATCTAGTCCCCAGCAACGGGTCTAAGAAGCGACCAAGTTCAAACAGAAGGAATCTTTCTGCTGCAGCCGTATGTGATTCCAGGAATGGGTTGGCAGGTTGGGCCCAGTCAGCATGAAGTGCAAGTGACACCAGCGCTCTCGGTTGTCTATAATATTCCCTCTCATGTAACCTATAGGCTTTTGCATGAGCCAGGAGAAGGTTATGAGCTGCTTGGTGTTTCTCTTCCGTACTGGAATAAACATCCACTAGTCTGTTTGGCTCATTAATGGTGATCCAGTATTGAACCCAGGTACCCAGCTCCTTGTAGCAAAGTGCTGCGTACTCCTGAAAAGCTTCCACTGTACTGTAGTTGAGCCAACCCCCAGAGGCATGCAGCGACACAGGCAAGCCCAGATTTGGAACTCTGTGAGTCGGGTAGTACAAAATAACAACAGCTTCCAGGTCCAGCTTCTTGAGCTCGGTCAGGACACATCGGTAGTACCTTTTAAAAGTATAGTGTGTAGATACAGAGAGTCAGATAGAGGTAGTGGTTGTCAACTTTGAGTTGTTCTCAATTTATGGCGTTAACAGGTTGTTACAGCTGTGAACTTAATAGAAATTAACAACTTCATTTGAATTTGTGAGCACTAAAATAGTGAATATTAATGTTTATGTGTTTGTGCATTTCTACCTCAGAGCTTCAGTGTTCACATTAGAAAGGTCTCCTTGGGGTAAAATCAGAGACCAGTTTAGAGCAAAGCGGTAGTGAGATGCCCCAGTGGATGCAAACAGGCGAAGATGACCACGAATGGCCAAATAGTCAGTGCACTGGGCTCGTCTGGTGTGCAGCTTCACTCCTGGGACTGGATGCAATGATCCGTCTCCTGTCAGGTTCCAGCTGTACACATGTGGGTCTGTAAACTGCGGGGAGAAAGGGTAGAAGTGGACCTACGAAAACAAAACAAAAAACAATAGAAATTTATTTTTTTTGTGTGGGTATGTGGCATTATCGCAATTGTTGTGTTATTTAATCTCCTCATGGTCACTTCTCTCACATCTTACCTCTAAAGTCGAGTCAGCAATACCCCAGTGAAATTCACAGGGGAAATGGCCTGTAATCTCTCTGGAGGTTTCCTCCTTTGGGAAACCATTGTCAGCAACAACCTGCCTGTAGTACTGAGCAGAGGTCTTGGGGGTCCTGGTTCTGTTGGGTTGGCTGAAGTCGACATAAAAAAGGCCTCGCCTAATAGTGTAGCCATAATTCCACTCAAATCCATCCACCAGTGTCCAGGCAGAATAGCCAAACACCTGCACACCATCAAACCTGACAGCTGTAAGAGAAAACACAGCAACAACAGAGTGAGAGGAACTCACATGTTTGTTTTGCAATGATTCAACTGTTTTATTTAAGTCCTATTTGCTAGGTCTCTACAGGTCTCTGCTCACCTCGCAAGACTTGGTTGATAAAATTCTTCATCAGATAGATGCTCACTGTGTCTTCCTTTCCCACACTGGCTTCAGAGAACCACCCTCCTTCAGCCACCAGCACACTCGGGTTCCCGTACTCCACCTTTATCCAGCCTAGGAGGCGTCGCAGGTCTGGGGTCACAGTCTGCCCGTAGTGGACCAGGTTCCGGCCCAGACGGAGGTTGTTAGGTCCAAAGGACAGAGCAAAAAAGTCAGCTGTTTTCTGCATCCAGAGCTTCTCCTCAGAAGTAAATGTGGGCAGAAGAGTCCCGTATTTATCTTTTAAAGAGACTGGATAATCCCCATCACCAAAGATGGGATTGGCAAACCAACCAAGAACCGCCTCCATAGACTGTTGACAAAGCATAACATTGGCAACTGTGGCTTGGCCTCTTTGAGGCTCAACCCAGTGGGAACCCAGGACAATGGATACTTTACCCCTCTGAGTTGGGCGAAAGTGGGTGTTATAGATGTGCCATGCTTTAGCGTGTGCCTGGAAAAAATAGCAGACACATTACAATGACGTTATTAAATTGTCAACACGACATAATCACAGTACAAGAAGTCGTTTTCACTGAGAAAAAAATGATACGTCTCTATGTCCAAAAAAATATTATGCTAATTGATGGCTGAATTCCCTTCATCTGAATCCCCTTTCCTCATGTGTCGCTTGTGTTTTTACTTCATCCCTTTGTCTGTTTTCCCTCCTTTTTTGTTTGCCCTCATTAGTTCCGCCTGTGTCGCCTCAGCTCGTTTGCCTAATTAGTTCTATGTATAAATTGTCTTGTCTTTCCCTCTGTCTTTGCCGGTTCATCCGTTTTGTTTCCCAGAATGCCTGCCCGTTTACCATCTGTTTGCATTCCCCATGTTCGCCTGTGTGCGTTCCCTGGCTGATTTCTTCCTTGTGTTCTTCATGTGTGGATTTTGCTTGGTTTGTGTACATTTTAAGATTGTTGGATGTAGTTTCTTTGGATCAGCTTCTTGAGCTATCTTGTGTTTGCTCCCCACTCTCTTTGTTAGACGAGTTTATTTGATCAAAATTACTTTTTGCAACAACCTGCCTGCCGTCTGTGTCTGCACTTGTTCTTATTTTCTGATTTCCCCGTGACAGTTTCTGGGGGCTGATATTGTGCATGTCAACCCTCTGTCCCTGTCATGGTTTACTGGGACACATGAATAGGTACAAGGCTATTATGATCAAGTTACATATGCTGTATAATACCTGCACTTTTCTTGCTATGACAAGTCAGCAACAGATCTATCATGCTGTTTAAACACTGCGAAACTACTCACAAAAGTACATATCTCTGCTGAGGCCACACGTTTCTGAATTTGTTTTTTAATTATAGAAAATCATGTGAATGTTAACACCCATCTGGATCCTGCATCAAAAGACACAGTGATAGAAAGTCAGGCAATAGAGTGTTTTCATTTCAGTATTGCAAAAGCAGTCTAGCAATTACTTTTATCCTGCCAAAATTTCACATAACTTTCCACAAAACATAATTCAAACTTGTTGATAGGTTCTTGCAAGTTATTGGCAACTAACAAACAGAAAGTTCAAATAGGACCAAAAATAAAACTCCCCAAGCAGAAGTTAGAGAGTAATGACAAAAGTAATTTATTGTGCAGCCATAAATTACTTTTTGCTCTGCGTTTGCTGTACACAAACCATCTGTGCTTGACTGCATAAACAGTCATGAGGGATTATTAATGAGCCATATCTCCATGACTTCCTGACACACACCGTTCCTCACCAGCACAAAAGTGCTGATGTGGTGGACTTTGACCGAGCGTCTCTTTAGGTGTCCTGTTTGCTGATCACAAACCTGTCAATATAAATACAGTCTCTAGTCATAAAGGAGATCGCATATAAAGTGAGCAAGGAGGTTTTGCACTTTTCAAGTTGTGCAGTTCAGTTAGATTAAATGTGACTTCACTCTGTGTGTTTTCTTCACTGTTCTGTGACCGAAAAGATGTAAACATCCATTGACCATCATAAACTGATAAAGTTGCAAGAGTTCAAAGTTTACAGTCTATGTATATGGTTGGAGAAATGCTGCACGTTGCTACAACCAAGGTAAATAATTCACAATATGAGTCCACATCAATGCGTAAATTCTACAGTACTGTTTAAGTGACCCTGTATAACTTACCCTGATTAGATTATGGGCCACAATGAGAGAGCCAGCAGGACCCCCTTTCTCTCCAGGAGCGTGTATGCCTGTCCCATAGCCCTGCACAGCCATTAGGTATGGATTGTGCATTGTGAGCCAGTACCTAACCCGACTCCCAAATGTGTAGAAACAAAAGGCAGCATATTCCTCAAAAAGTCCCACCAGTGTGTCATTTCTCCAGCCTCCGTATTGTTCATGCAGCGCCTGAGGCAGGTCCCAGTGATGGAGAGTGACAATGGGCTCGATTTTCTTTTCCAGAAGCTTCTCTATGAGGTGACTGTAATGTTCTACAGCAGCTGTATTGGGCTGACCTCTGGCATTCCCATCAGGAAAGAGCCTGGGCCAGGAGAGAGAGAAAGAGTATGATCTTACACCGAGGTATTCCAGCGCCTTCACATCTTCTTCCCAGCGACTGTAGCTGTCACTCGCCACATTGGCAGTCTCTCTGTCCAAATTACCACTGACAGAAGAGTGGGTGAAAGAGTCCCAGATGGAGGAACCTTTTCCATCCTGGTTCCAGGCTCCTTCTGTCTGGAAAGCAGAAGTCCCTGAGCCCCAGAGGAACCCTGAAGGGAAGGTGTCATGAAGGAAAGACTGGTCTTTGATGTTGAGGTCCAACTTTGGCTGCAGCCAAATATTCCTGCCCTCCCCAAGAGAACCGGCTGCCTTGTTCCAATGACAGTAGAACAGGAGAAGGGAGAGTAAGAGGCTCTGACTTGACGGAAGAGAAAGACGGTTCAGCATAGTGAAGGAGTCTAATTTCAGAAATCCACTTTGAGGGGACAACTGGTGTCAGTCAGCGCTGTTTTCAATATAATAAATCCTCTTGCGATTGAAAGGAGATCCATAATGTTTGTGAGGAAGAGGGAGAGGTGGTCACCACCAGCAAAGGGGAGCATTGAAGGCTTCGAGGTGCTGCAGTGTCCATCTGACAACCTGGTTCGTCTTCCCTATCTCTCCCTCAGTGTACTTGTGCTCCCACTCAGCCCCTCCCTACCACATAATGTTCACACATACAAAGGTTGACTCATATCCACACACACTTGTATTGCCATACTTACGAGACGTTTCAGGTTAATTGTTTTCACCTGTGCTTCCAAAAGTACCCCACAATCAATTGATTATATCAATAAATAACAAAAAAAAAAACAGAGAGACCCAAAACTTAACATAACTTATAAGTATATAATTTTGTAAGGACACACACACAGGCACAGAGCTCAGAGGCACAAGCTGTTAAGAACATTCTTGTGTCAATAATTAGCTTGTACTCTGATCTTAGCTTCATAACTAAGTAGTATTTCACATTGTGGGCTATCTGTTTCCAATAAACAAGCACAGACGGTTTGATTTCCCTGAGCTGACAGATATCAGTTTTCTACTATAAATTTAAACACATATCCAACACATTTATTGCATAAGAGGTGATGACAATACAAAGTAGTGCCGCAGGATGCTGAATAAACAGGATGTTTTCTGTTATCTTGTAGCCCAGAAGCTGCTAATCCCATCTGGAGTGTTGTCTCAAGATTTGATCAAACCATACCAGGTGAGAACAGTGGCACCAGCTCGTATGACCTCATTCAATTTAACTCCACTTGCTGTTATAAGCACAGTCACTGACCCAAGGCAAAAACAGCACAGCAAGGCCAAAAAACAGTGCTGGGAAGTGCGTGCATGTGTGTGTGTGTGGAGGGTGTGTGTCACTGTCCATCTGTCTGTACACACTCTTGTCTTTGACTAAGCCTCCCTATCACAATAAAAAGCCCATCAAAAAAAAAAAACCTTTCTCATCCTCCTTCATTGAAGCAGCTGTCCAGAGTAAACAACAAAGCTGCCCAGGATACACTGTGCCTCGAGGCATTAGTGGGATAAGTCAATTGAGTTGGAAAATGTTCATCTACCACCCAGACTGGCCTCCGCGTGGTCGCTATGATACTACAGACAAGAAACCTCAAAAGCACTAACCTGTACTTCTTGTTTTTATCATCAAACATATTACATTGGCATTACACTGTAAAGACATATTTCAGTTATCTGTAGAATCAAACATTTTGAGATTAGTGCTGCCAGTTTCAAACCAAACAAGAACCAATGAAGTACTGTCTTGACACTGAATAGTAGCATTGCAGATTTCTGTACTTTCACTGTTCCCACGTACAGAGATGTTATCATAGTAAAGTATGGCAAACAGTTTCCTACAGTAAAAAGCTCTGCACAGTTAATTTTTAAAAAATGGGGGAAGTGAAAAGAGGATGTAGAGTGTGTTGAACATGATTGGTTACTTTCATTTCTGTGTCTGTTTCCTCTTATTTACTGTAACAGAGAAAAAAATATGCAAAGGCAGATCCTGCAAGAGAGGTGTAGCTTGTCTTTTTTATCATAAATGTTTGTTTGTTTGTTTTACTTTGACTTGAACCAAATAGTCTTTTTCTTCGAAAATACGTTCTCATGTTTTGAGATTGTGAATCCCTGCCATTGAGATATTTGCCTACTTTAAACAGCACAGAGACCTATCTTTTGAGATTTTAAAACTTAAAAAATCAACAGGAACCCGGCTGAAATGTCCATCTGACCTCAGTACAGGTAAGTGAACTCTTTCATCTGTTCACATACTATATGATGTTTGCTGTAGCGGTTTTTATTTAGCATGAATTTCATTTTGATATTTAGATTACACAAGTCAACACAGACAGAAACAATTATAAAACCAAACTTTATAAAACAATAGTTCAAACTATAGTTAAAACCAAATATTATTTTGTTCATTTCAGTATTTCAAAAGTGACAATTATATCTTCATTTAAATTTGCAAAGGGATTTTTGGATGCATAAGAAATCCCATATTTTTTTAACTTGGGAAAAACCTTGAAACGATCATCAATGCTTCTTCTTCATTGCTGTTAAGACAATTCCAACTGACATTTCTCCATCTGCACCAAAAAGTCCCTCACTTCTTTACAAGTAATCCAAGATACAACTGTCAGGACTTAAACCGGTAACTGAAGATGATCATAATACACCTATTCTTGCATCGTTGTTCTGGCTGCCTGTTAGTTTGAAAGTTGATTTTAAAATTTTGCTTCTTCTTGCTGTGAAAACTCTGAACAGAATGTGCCATATTTCTGACCTTTGGACTCTGTATATATCATTGCAGGCCCCGAGGTCCTTAGATCAGGGTCTCCAATCTTTGCAACAATTTTACAGAGGAGATTAGGATGACCAAATCTATTTCTTCATTCAAGTCTTTTCTTAAAACATTTTTTTAATAATCTAGCCATCCTCTGATCCTTCATTTAACCTTCCTACATGATTTACTTTGCTGTATTGTTATGTTTTACTACTGTGCTTTATGGTTGTTCTTTATTAAGGGTGCTATTGTTCTTATTGTATTAATGATTACCACAATTTGTAAAAATTGTGGTAATCATTAATACACTGTAAACTGTAAACACTGTAAAACTCTGTTTTGTAAGGGTACTATATACATAAAATTGACTGTTATTATTATTAGTCTTATAATTGATCAAAGGCAGCAAATAAGACTCTGTTATATTAGTCAAATGACATGTATGGTATATTAGGAGTTTCCAGTGTATTAGATAAGCCTAGCTAAGACTGTCCATCCATCAGCTATATCTGCTTTATTGTTGTGGGCAGGAGCCTATCCTGGCTGACACTGGGTTAGAGGTGAAGTACACCCTGGACAGGTTGCCAGTCCATTGCATGGCTAACACAAAGGGAATGACAACCATGCACACTCACACTCACTCCTACCTGCATACATTTGAACTGTGGGAAGAAGGTAGAATACCAATAGAAAACCTACACAGAACAGAGAGAAAATGCAAACTCCACACAGAAAGGCCCGAGCTGACCAGTCGGTTTCAACCCACAACCTTCTTGCTGTGATGCAACCTTGAAAGCCAAACTTAAGCTTAAAGTAATTCAGTCTAATAAAACAGATCGTGAAGGTCCTAAAGTTCAGTTTTTGCTGAAATACAGTCTAAACACATCTAGACTGCGTCCATTATTGTTTCTACTATTTTATCCACCATATAGATCCATGAAGGTTTGCTAAACACCAAAAATTCCTGCAGTAGAGTTCAACAGCATCACAAACTCTAAAATGATCATGAAGTTAAATCAACACGTCTCAAAAGCAATTTAAACTATACTTGGACATAATAATCAAAACGTTTGAATCTACTGCTATGCTGTTTCTGTTAAACTGCTTTCATTGTAGCTAGGTGTACCCAATAAACTGCAAACTTAGTGTACTAATCGATAATAACATGGATGTTTATTTCCTTAATTTCATTCAGGCAAACAATGAAGCTCACGCCTGCTTTCCTCTGGGCTGCGGTCATGTTGGTGGGACTCCAGAGAAGCGCTTCATCCCCTGACAGCACCGTAAACCGCTCATCCCAAAACCTCTCTGCTGTCCCAAGAGACCTGCCACCAGCTGTGGAGGTTTTAGACCTTTCCTGCAACCACATACATCAGCTTCACAAAGGAGACTTTAGAAACACCACCCTCCTTAGGATCCTGAACGTGTCTTGGAACGGTTTGGAAGAAATTGATGCACAGACTTTTCTGGACACACCACTTCTGGAGGATCTCGACCTTTCTCATAACAGCCTGAAGAACCTGTCAGGTCAACAGTACCTGCTGCACACAGGGAACCTCCTGGTGTTAAACTTGGCCTACAACAAGATTTTTAGCATGACATTGGGAAGTGAGTTCAGCTCATTGGTAAAACTGGAGAGATTAACAATTGGAGCAAAAAACATAAGTCAGGGGGATTTCAAGAACATTGCTGAGGTGAAACTACGTATACTGACCCTTTCTCTGGAGGGTGAACTTGGGTATGAAGCGAGCAGCCTGACGGGTGTTCATACACAAAAGCTTCAGATAGCCTTCAGTAAAAATCAAATAATGGACCATGATCTAGTTGCAGATGCTTTGTCCCTCTTTGATGAAGTGGAGATGATGAATCTTACCAGTGGCTACAAAGACTTAAGTATGCAGCTGAGTGAGAGAGAAGAGATCCACACTTCTCACTTTGATCTCACAAACTTAGTAATTGACTGGCAAGACTTGACTCGATTTGTAAATGTGGTTTTGCGTACATCTATTAGTCATCTGAGCGCCTCTGATGTGGCCATAAACCACCCACCTTATACCGACACCTTTGTGACCCCTATATCAAAAATGAAGTCCTTCACAGCCAGACGGGCAACAGTCAACTCTTTCTTCTTTTCACAGGAGTCTGTCTACAACTTTTTCATCAACTTGCCAGTGAAGAGTGTAGCGATCATGGAGACTTCAATCATTCACATGACATGTCCAACTGCACAGAGTCCGATCCTTCAGTTGGACTTCTCTAACTGTGCTATATCTGACTCCATTTTCTCCACAGTGAAGGGTGACAAAATAGTTGAATGTGAGAATCTGGGTAATGTAAAGAAACTGATTCTGGGAGGCAACAATTTTAAGAACCTTCAGGTATTGAGCAATCGTACCCAACACATGATGTCCCTGCAACACCTGGACCTCAGCCTCAACTCCATCACTTATGACGGTTTGTTGGAGTGTTTCTGGCCACCAAGTATCACCAATATGAATCTGTCCTCAAACAGTCTGACAGACTCAGTTTTTCAATGCCTGCCAAAGGGAACAGAGACTCTGGACCTTCAGAACAATCAGATATCTGTGGTGCCACCAAGCATCTTCAAACTGGAGAACCTCTCATCTCTGAATCTAAATGCTAACAGGCTGCGGGACCTGCCTGTATGCAACACTTTCCCCATACTGAGCGAACTTCTGCTCCAGTCAAATTCCCTCCATGCCCCATCCGTGAATAGGTTAGAAAGTTGCCCCAAACTGAAAACCCTGGATGCCAGTCACAACCCCTTCACCTGCACCTGTGCTCTGCGGCATTTTATACGTCTTCCCATCAAGTCTAAAAGCAAAAGTCAAACAGGAATTGAACTGCTGAGCTGGCCACTTGACTATTACTGCACCTACCCAGAGGCTGTTAGAAACTCCACTTTGAAAGACATCTGGATTCCAGAGATCTCTTGCAATGTGGGTCTTCTATCCGCCACTATCTTGGTCCCAGCAGTGGCACTGATTTTAACGGTTGTGATCTTATGCCACCGCCTGGATGTTCCCTGGTATATAGGCATGGTCTGGCAGTGGACCAGAGCCAAACATCGTGCAAGAATGCAACATGTTCGACCTGAAGATCTGGTAGATGTTGAGTTCCATGCTTTTGTATCTTACAGCCAGCATGATGCAGACTGGGTTCACAATTCCCTCCTTCCTAACCTCGAGGGGCCCGCAGGGGAGCTCAGAATCTGCCATCACGAGAAAAACTTTGTGCCGGGAAAGACGATTATTGAGAACATCATCAGCTGCGTGGAGAAAAGCCGACGTTCTGTGTTTGTGCTCTCCGCTCACTTTGTCAAGAGCGACTGGTGCCATTATGAGCTGTACTTTGCCTGCCACCAACGTCTCTCTCGGGGCTTAGACAGCATTGTGCTGGTTCTGCTCGAGCCTCTGCCTCAGTACCTGATCCCATCCAAGTACTACCAGCTGAAGTCCATGATGAGCCGTCACACCTATCTGGAGTGGCCTCAGGACAGGGCCAAGCACAGGCTGTTCTGGGCCAACCTCAGAGCTGCCCTGCAGGCTGACCTGCCGAATGCACCAGTCGCAGAAATACAGGAGTGACGATAGAGGGGAGACTTAAAGAGGAAATGAAGTGTGAATAGGAAATACCGGAATGTTTGTAAAAAGGGAACAATGTAATACAAAAATGTGGACGCACTGGTAAAAATGTGTAAATATTGTAGCCTGAGCTAAAGCATCTAATTTTTAAGTTTTCTTTTATGAGCAGCCGAGGAACTGATGCGCTTGAAACATAAAAATGATGTAATAATATGTCAAGTTATTTAAACCATTCAGGTGACATTTAATGGAAACATCAACATAAACTAACTATTTGATCAAGACTGTAGCAAAAACAATAAACTTTACAAAAAGAGTATCAAAAATGCTTTTGATTCTTTTGTCAATGTTAACTCCCACAAAACATCACAACATGAAATGTGGATAAGCACATTAAGTTACCACATCAACTTTGTACTAGTAAGGAAAAAGCTGCAAACATACTGTACAGTGATTATGACAGCAACACAGTAAATACAGTATTGTCTTCTCTCTGAAAGGAGAGGTCCACTTTTAAGGCAAGGAGCATACACTGACATTTTCTTTTCATATGAGTGCAATGATGGATGATAAAAGACAAAAGAGACAGAAATGTGTCCTTTGTAGAGTAACAGCTTTGGAGTCATAAATCCAGTCCAACTGCATTAAAACTGTGCCGAGGTTCAAAAGGCACAGGCCAGGTGTCAAGGAAGGGACTGGATGATGATTATTTTCTCGTTAATGCAGAAACGGTGGAGCACACTCAGCAAGTTCTCTCCACAACGCGACACCTGCCTCTCCATTGCCAGACGGAAATCCTCCTTCACTCCTTTGGTAATTCCTCGAGTCACTGTGTGGTGTCTGCAAGAGTAAAAGGATAAAAAATAAAACACAAACATAGACCTGGTCAGAAATATATTCATATGAGCTGACTGTCATACCTATGCTGTAAAGACAAAGGCATGGAAACAGCATGTTACCTTTTCCTTACATACATAAACCAGCCAGTCACGTTTAAATCACAAATTTTCCAGTATAATAAAGCAAAACCACAAAAAACATGTCCACAAATGAAATGAGATCTAGTGTTATGAAGAGGTAAAAAACTAAACTTACTGTACAACAACACCAACATCATCCTCAAATAACAACGACAACAGTGATGACCACAGAAAGACGAGTAATGGCTCAAATAAACAAACGCCGACAGGAAATCAAAGAACAACTAACTCTTGATGTAAAAATGACAGGCCCAAATTAAAACTGGGGGGATGACAAGCCTTGAAGCTGGGAATGAAGGAAGGGTGACTGGTGTGGGCGGGATGGGGACTGTGGGAGGAGGGGCCTGGGGTACCTGTCAATCGTCTGCACCCCTTGTAGCAGAAGGGTATTTAACTCCACCCCCAGGGCGGGGCTAGGATTCCTGAGGGACAGCAACATTCAACAACTCTCAGTCAGTGCGGGTGCATTCAACTGTCTTAACTTCTACAGCAATGAGTTTTAATACAGCTTTTTTTTTTTTGCTTGCTTGTTTGGTTTTTTACCTTTAACCCCTTTCGTTTCACAAAGGCCCACTCCGTTGACTGTCTTTCAGTTCAAAGTGAAATATTCCTCACAGGCCGTGTCTATGTCGATCATCAGTCAACAGAACTGTCCTGTTTACCATCAGGCTTCTCAGCTGACACATCTGAATAATTCACATTGAATATTTGCTTACCTGCTTGACTGGACTGTCTATTGTTTACTGACTGCTTACAAACAAAACAAAATGTCAACCAAGACTGCTGCTACCAAACCAGAACTGCTACACGCCCAAAATGCAACACTGTTGGATACACTCATCATTTTAACTTCTGTAATTTAATCCTCATTTTCATATATGTATCTAATATTATATATTTTATTCGATCTTATCCGTATTACATGTTTTTAATCTTATATTTTCCACATTAGTGTCTTTATCACTGAGCTGACCTGTTTTCTTGTCCATCATATTTCATTGTGCTGCTGACCCTGTATTAACTTAGTGTTAACCTACATATGACTAATAAAACTGAACTGAACGTAAAAACACACCAACAGAACGGGAGAGTGCAGAGTCACGATGCCAACTGAAAAAGCTCAGAATGGGGCTCGCTTACTTAATCAGCATTCCCTGATTGGGCAGCAGCTCCAGCTGAATCCTCCCTCCTTCTGGAGTACGCAAGTATGCAAATTCCTCCAGCATGTCGATGTCTGAGACAAATCATGAGCTTGTGGAAAAACAACATCCAAGAAATGACAACACAAATAGAAAACCGAGTGTAAAAACCTTCTGTCATCAAGTTATACGATATTATGGCTACGTGACCAATTAGAAAAAAAGGATACTGGTGACATAGTTGAAGAAATTCTCATACTGGAAGCTGCCTTGCTGACAGATTTTATCCACTGCCTTTAAAAACAGCATCTCGCCCTGCGGCCAGTCATGCTGTAGAAGCACCACAACATGACCGAGCGACAAGTCGTCACGATTGTCTGTGAAGGCACGAAGCTGTTTGGGCAAAACGAAAAAAAGAAAAAGAAGTTTTATCAAATTCTACATCCAGTCTTGAAAAATATATTGGCCAAACATAGTGTATGTCTTTACAAAGACTAAATAAAAAATCACACTTCAGCTAGTTTAAATACCTTGAAGCAAGCAAGCATCAGCTGGAGACAGAAAGGCAGCACAGCTTTGCTGGTGCAAGGAAGTAACCTCAAGTCATTACCTGGTGAAGACAAAAAAAAAAAAAAAGGGAAACTCGATAAAATTCCAGTTATGCATCTTTCTGTCACATATCAGATGGTGTCATTAAGAAGACGTCTGTATTAGTGCTGAACAATTTGAGTAAAATATCAAATTGCGATTTTTCTGACAGATATTGTGATTTGATTTGTAATATAAGCTTCAGTTCAACAGTCACAGTGTTTAGGAGATTTAGAACATGATGGAGCATTACCACGAGATACCATCAAAAATGTGTCTGTCACGCAGGGAGGAATTTGCAAAACCACTGACACGTCAAGCTGTGGGTCAGACAAGCTGCATAGTGCACTATGCTAAATTGCAGCATCTGTCACTTGTTAATTCCATTATTACAAATTGCAATTTGAAATTGATTAATTGTTTAGACTTAACCTGTATTTTGAACCATAAAAGAAATAACAGTAGTTTCAACAGTCGATTGTTTCTCATAATTGTGCAAAGGGCACCAGATTAAACTTGTGGTTGAAGTGGCAGTACTGTGTTGTAATACTACGGCATTAGCAGTCACAACAGTGGATAAACTTACAAGCACATACGATAATAACCAATTTCAAGGCAATTCACTTTAGTATTCACATATTGGTTTTGCTAAACCCGTTTAAATGTGTTTATAATCAGAATCAGTGAGCCACCTCAGGAAGCCTTTACCTTTCCTACTTTTGGTTTTGACTCTACCCTGATCCTCTGGGGCCTTTGTTGGTTCTTGGCTTGGAGGTACCAGTCCACCGACAACATCAAGCAGCTTCTCACAGGCCATCTGATGAACACATAAAGTATAATACATACACATTGCATATAATATTTGGAGGACAGGGATATTACACATTCATTTTAAACAAACAGGTCGCACGTATTTCGTCATGTGTAGCCGACTAACAGTCATCTTTGTTTTTTTCTAAAATGTATTTCTGACCATATGCAGGTTAGTACATCTGGCAAGCTGCTATGTGACTACGTGACTTAGGTTTCAAATGTAAACGGTTATATTACCGGATGTGAACTGTTGACACCTGCAGTTTATTGCAGAGCAAAGTGAGCAACAGGTTGTGTAAAACATGTGAAACATTAACCCACATCAGCAGTTGTAAATCTGCGTTACAAAGCTTTACTTTAACACCCCCTTCAGGCCAGTTGGTGTGATGGATTCACTTTTGGGGTATGATACATGGAACAATATATTTTTCTGTAACGAAGTAAACTTCACCAAATGGGTATATTTAATACAAAACAACCTCCAAATATATGAATAAATATACATACGGTATAAAAATTACTTGAACAACATATCTGGAAGTGGAATTACACAAATAACTGTAGATCAAAACTGTCAAATACTGTTCAACACAATAAAGAAAAAAAAAGTGGAAAAGGGTAAAGATAGGAAAAAGAGAAGTATGCCTATATGTGCTTTCTCCTGACCCCTAACAACATGATAGATTTTGTGCGAGTGCAGTCGTGTGGATGCGTGTACCCTGTACTCTCCCAGTGCATAGTGGCAGGATGCCTGCTGAATGAGGGCCCTGTGATGCTCCAGACTGGCCTGACCTGAGGGGCTCTGCTGGCCAGGCTGGGGCTGCTGCACTGCAGCCATCTGGTGCAGGCTGGAGAGGGCCTTACGATACTGTCCCTGGAGACAACACATGCACACGTAATCATTATATAATCACAGATTACTATATGATTAATTTTGTTGTATTAGTTAAATTAAAATTCATCTTTTTGCTGATAGCAGTTATTTTATGTTTTATGTCTATTTGCCTCAATCTTTAAACGCTGGCTCCACCAATGACTGAATCTCCCCTCAGGGATCAAAACGGTTTCATTCAATCTGGTACAAATTGATAGAATATGTCTCAAGAAAACACGATGTAACATAAGTCAGTGCCAGTAATACAGACCACAGATATAAGGGCAGCAGGTGTCTTGTCACAAGCAGAAAAAAACTGTAACTCTTGCCTGGAATATAATCATGTCGGTGAGAAATATTCTGAACCACAGCCAGCTGTCCGTCTTCCAAGTGGCACAGATCTTTTTGAACTCTGAAAAACATTAAAATACAAAATCCATTTAAATAATTACCACTTCCTCCTTACAGCGAGTTAAATAAAGTTCTTGAGCAAAAACATCTAAAAGCAGCAAGAATCCATCTGCGTCTGGTGTCGTGGTAGCCAGTTTATGATATTGTAACAAGGCTGGTGTCTGTCTGGATGTGAAAATAAAAGTACAGAGAAATGTTAGAGGTGCTTACCACTTTCCAGACCATCATGAGAATGAAGGAGGTCCCAGCTTTCTCTCGCTGTACGAAAGCTCTCCAGAGTCTCTGACCAAATGGGCATATCTGTTTTGTTCACCAGAATGTGCCGACCGCGGCCTTTCCCCAGACCTTCCTCATCATCTGAGCTCTACAATGAGACACACACATACACAGTAACCAAAAAGAAAACCAATCAGAAACCCACTTTCATCAAACAGTATAAACCATTTAAGAAATACACACACAAAATGTTAAAGTGATCTGTCAATTTTTCTCTCTGGCTCTCTCATGTACAAACATCTAAATGATCTCTAATCTGTCCTCACCATAGTCTTCTCTCTCCCATCAGCCAGTTTGCGTTTCTTATGTGCATGTTTCACTGCTCCTCTCTCCAGTTCCACATCACTATACACTGAGCTCAAATCCTCCACAAGGATCCACGGGCCTGAACTCAACGCATTGACTCCTGCAAAACACAATCACTTAATTTAACCACAACAATTTTTGAAAAGATAAGATGATAGGCATATTCTGAAAAATGGGAGGGGCTCACCCTGGAACAGTGCAGGCTGTACAGCTGAGACATAGAGGAAGGCACTGCGAAAGAGGACGAGCGCAGCACAGATGACCACCTGACTGCAGCAGCGCGACCTCGTGTCTCCTTCCAGACCAGGCAGGTAGCGACACAGTTCCTTTACTCTCTGCAGCATGTCAACATAACTCCTAGAACACAGACACACAAACCTAAGTCTTTCTAAAAACTTTTTACTTTACTGTTATCAGTCATCTTCAAATTCCCACATCCTATACATGTATATAATATCTACAGTCGTCCTCAAATGTATTCATACCTACCCATTAAAGAAGGAAAAAAACAGCTGCCACTGAAATAAGTTGAAATTGACAAAAGTAATGATGAATAAAAACGTAATGAAAATCATGACATTGCTTTTGAATTGCAGTTAAAAACAAACTTTTTTTTTTCAAAACAAGCAAACAAGCATGATAGGACCCGTAAACTAATATTTTGTTGAACAACCCTTTGAGCCAATCACTGCAATCAAGTGTTTTCTGTAACTCTCAGTCAGACTTCTGCACCTGTTGACAGGTATTTTGATTTCGGCCCACTGCTCATCAGCAAAGTGCTCTAATTTGTCCAGGACAGTTTTGTTGGGTTTTTAAAATTACTCTTTTCAACTACAATTCAAAAGCAATGTCTTATTTCACTAAATTATAATTTAACATTTATTTATTTATTTTATTTTATTTTTTTTCAGTTTCTAGTTATTTGAGTGACTATTGTGAATTTTGCCTTTTCTCTAATGGATGAATTTAAGGAATGAATAAACTTGAGGACAACTGTACCTACACAAGCATACATGTTTGGATTGTTTTGTTTCTGAGTGGGCAGACAGATACGCTACCTCTGCCCCTTGTCTCCCTGCCACTCGCAGCGTGCTCCCACCACACCAAGGATGTCCAGCAGCCTCTCCCACGGCTCTGCTACCATCGACGACTTTTCTGACAGGCCATCGATCACATAACGCTGGGAGCCACGGGAGACAGTAGGTGACTTCAGAGTCCCACCTTCCTGAGAGCCTGAAACAGAAAAGAAAAAGAACCAAAAATAAAGTGAGGCAGGCTCTGAATAGAGAAAATAATGATGTAGAAGCTAATGTAGGACAAGAAATGGGGAGATTCAAAGTAACCACACTGGGTTTGCACTGAGAGAGAAAAAGAAAGAACAACTTTAACATAGTGTAATCTTACCTTGTATCTGTACATCAGGTGAGGGGCCACGGGTAACATAACCAATGTAGAATTCAGCTGCTTTCAGCATGTATTTCTGCATTAGGCTGGCAGGCAGGCGCATGTCCATGTTGTTTATGACCAGTGGAAGGACATCACACACTGTAATAGTACAATTAGTATGTAGCAGCTGTTTTGTTGGCAAATGAAAAAAAAAAACAGATTTTAATGTAGTATTCACGAACCAAAAAGTTTTCTGAAGCAGTTGACAGGAGTCTCCACATTCTCTGATGCCTCTGCCTCCAACAATGTCTCTCCTAAATTGACCTAACAATGCAGCAGATTGTCATCATTCACTGTTTAAACACTATTTTTACTAAGTTCAAAACAGTAGACTTAAGGTATTATTACACACCCCGTGTTGGACCACAGATTCTGGAAATCGCTTCAGTAGGAGCAGCAGCATCTCTGCCTTCTCCAAAGTGTTGAAACACTGTTCTGTGGCCTTCAGCAGCATCTCACACTGCACACGACCAGGTAGTGTCTCAAAGAGCCCTGAGTGAGACAACAACAACAACAACAAAATAAAAATAGACACTCTTCAGATTTCCAAAGCAAACACTGTTCCTATCACGGCTACCCACGCTTCATCATCATGCTTCTCATAGTAAGATTGTTGTACTGTAGATTAATTCTCACCTCGTAAAAACTGTGCATGCTTGTCCTGAGAGTCACTGCGCAGGGCTGCTGTGATGACACTAATCTCACGCCAAACAATGGGCTGATCTGTGAAGTTTATAAACCTAAAGGATGGAGAAATGATCAGCAACTGTTAGCCCAGGCTCAGCACAGGGAACTTCAGATTTGCAGTAGAAGGACAGAAAAACACACTGTAACTCACATGTCATAAAGCAGTCTCCCTGCTGAAGCTGTCCTCTGTGCGTTACGTTCAATGATGTACATTTCATACTGTCAAAAACATGAGAACTAAATTTCAAACAAGAATCCACAAAACAAACATGTAAAGAATTCCCACTACCTACTGTCATTAGGAGGCTGAGGCAGATGCTTAATGTTACCTGTATGTTGAAATCTGTAGGGTAGAGGGTTCTGGCAGTTATAAGCCAGGCTTTGGCCGCACAGGGATCATCAGAGACCAGCTCTCGGGCTCTTTTCACCAAAAACTCGCAGTCTTTTTGCGCTGACATTTTATACTAATCGTATAGAAAGTGTCTAAGTGACCACAAACGCAGCGCAGACTTCAATGCATATAGCTCGATTAAACGCTCAAGTCGCGGTGGATGAATTGCTGGTGCACAGCTAGCAGCACATAATGTCAGCTAGCTAGCATTAGCTATGTGACTTACAGTTGCCATTTTTGCAAGAATTGTTCATCAGATCGTGCTCTACTTGGTTATTATATAAATATATAGCAAGCATGCGTAAAAAGGGAAAGAAAATCAACTGAAATCCCTTGTGAATTTACCAGGCAAAGCTAAGTCTTTATTTACCGACACACTCGCGAACGATACGACAGTGACGTCACCACGCAGTCGTAAAAAATGACGCTGCGTCCTGCTTTACGACCAACATTCAAGCACTGTCGTATTAGCTAGTCGCATGAAAAAGAACGCTTTTTTTTAAATGTCATCCTATGTTGTGCGTCAAAAATATCTGGGATAATTCAGCAACCCAAACCTTCCATTATTCACTTTGTAGAATAAAGTTAACTAAGTCTTCAAACGTGAAACATCTATCGTTGCTCCATCCACATACTCTCAGATCTGCAGCAGTGCGCAGGCGCTGAAGATGCACCGCTGTCACCTGCTGGAGCTGCAGACACGACCTACAGTAGTGGCCCAATTACCCTGCAAAAACTGCTCTCTATCCAGGGATAGGGCAGCGACTGGTTTACACAGCAGGTAAATACCCATTTATGAGCCCAACGTATGTGTGACCAAAACTGTGAGACGTTCTTTTGCCTTTTGACATTCAGCGACTGTAAACGGAGCCTCCAACCAATCATCAATCAGGGCTTGTCCGTTTTGACTCTGATCATGCTAGCCACTTAGCATGCTAGGCAGCAAGTATTTGCTGTAGCGCGCAGTCAGTTATGTATGACGCCGTGTCACGTCTTCTTCCTTTAATCTTAAACACAAATTCAAATAACTGCTACAGCTGTTAGTAAAGGAAGCACAGCCACTAGCACTGTTGAGCTAGCTAACTTTGCTAGCCTGCCTAGCATTTCGATATCTGGCCGTTGAAGTAATCATGCTAACCCGTCTATGATCTGTTGCTCTTCATTGAGCTGCTCGCACAGTACGTGAAATAACAACTTCAATTCGTGGTAATTAAACTCAGGTGAGGTCTTTATGGGTGTATTAGCCTTTGGACTGACAACATGCTAGTACAGCAGACATGACACGACAAGTAAGTGAGTTACAAGGAGGTAGTGCATAGAGGGCGTGTTCGGCCAAGATTTCGTTATGGCACAATATCAGATTTCTCAATAGGATTGTTGTCTTCTTCAGAACTGTTGACTTAGTGAAATCAGCAGGGGATTTTCTAGTGTTTCATTATCTATGATGGGAAAACACCTATTCGTTGCATTACAAATGTGATTTAATTAAATTAATATACAGAACTATCAGGAGGAGAGAAGACAAATATCCAAAGTAGAATACCTAAGTCATTCTGAATGTTAAAATTATAAGGAAAACTTCATATATTCTGTCAGTAGTTACTCTCAGATTTTCTGAGTTGTTCCTATTTTATAAAGTGACTACCGTTGCCATGGAAATGCAGTTTAACTGAGGTGAGATGAGGTGCTTTCTTTTGAAATGTTTTGGAGGCCAATATCTCAGACTCAAAAGTGGACTAGCCAAACAAATGCACTTTAAACTCACGGATGTATTTAAGTTCCATGATGAGCTCGCATTTGTCAGTAGCCATGCGGCAATCTGGATTGTCACAGTGACCTGAAACTAAGGTAACCAGCTATATTTCAGTTGGTGTGCTGTGACCTCTAATGACCCAACAGCTTTGCCTCATCTCTCTCTTTCTTGGGCTATATTTAGATTATTTCTGGACAACTTGCATTATGCTCTAAATGGTTTTAGATACTAACTTTAATTTTTGCAGAAATGTATCTTGCTTTTATTTGAGAAAAAATGCACCTACTGTTATGTAAGGGCGTGCCAATAGATTATTTCATATATTAAAAAAAAAAAAGAAATCGTATTTAAGTGATCATGTAAAACAATCTTCATACGCGTAATGTACATGACACTAAAAGAGCTGGCTCATTAGCTGTGCTGGCCTTCTCCATGATTTGGCCCGCACTTATCAGTTTGTTGTTAAGTTGTGTAATAATGCTTATCAGTTGGCAGTTGGGGCAGCCAGGTTGTACAAGTTGAAACCGGGTTGCTAAGTTTAAACCAGTCAGTCTGCTTTTAAGTGTTTACTGAGAATAAGCCTTTTAATCTAGACAGAGGGCAATAAATAGCGTGTTTTTGAGAAAGGAAAAGAATTGCTTCAACACAGCTATTAACCAGATATGCAAAAATTAATGGCACTGCATTAATGCCTTACAGGTTGTAGATTTATGTATAGTTGTTTCATAAATTGTATAATTATTTTTAATGCATTTTAGTTTCATTGGATGGCAATCATTGTTTTGTTTTTTTAAATGTATTTTGTAGTAATTTTCCACTTTAGCTATTGTTTAAAAAATTGATATTTTCTTTCTACAGGTCCTTCTTTAATATAAGTTTATTTAGGTACATATTTCTATCATACCTTGTCAATAATTAAATTTTTGTTATAACATGTTTGGCAAAAATGTAATTGATAATATCATGTCTTGATATGAAAGGAGATAAAACAGTACATCTGGTCTCTTCTCTCTCTCATATGGTATGTATTTTACAGGCGAGTGCAGTGCTGATGTAATGCTGGAGGATCTGGCTGTGCACTGAGCCTTCCATGGCTGTTGCCACCATGGACTCTGAGTCAGCCCGGACACCTCAACCTCAGGCCACCCTGACAAAAAGAAGCCGTTCCCTGTTCCCTGCTGGGGCTCTGAGCGCCAAGCTGGGTCCTCAAGGGAAGCACTATGTCTGTGGTTCTATTGCAGCTTTTACCAATATTGTGGTTACCTTCCCCATCCAGAAGGTGTTGTTCCGCCAGCAGCTTCATGGTGTGTTGGCCACTGAGGCGGTGCGACAGCTCCAGAGGGATGGCCTGAGGAATCTGTATCGAGGCCTGCTGCCTCCGCTTCTCCAGAAAAGCACTACAGTGGCCATCATGTTTGGCCTGTATGAGGACTTCTCTAGAGTCTTACTAGACCGGGTTGGTAGCAGCGGTGTGCCAGAGCTGATCACGCGAAGCTTTGCTGCAGCATTGGCAGGAACTACTGAGGCCATCCTAACACCATTTGAGCGTGTGCAGACTCTCCTACAAGATCATCGGCACCACGAGCGCTTCAACAACACAGCCCACACTTTCCGGACACTTCTCACCGAGTATGGTGTCAGAGAATGCTACCGTGGCCTCATGCCTATACTGCTGCGTAATGGCCCTAGTAATGTTCTCTTCTTCGGGCTCAGGGGGCCCATTAAAGAGCAGCTCCCCGAAGCTACTAGCAGGGTTGGTCACTTGGTTAACGATTTTGTCTGTGGAGGGGTGTTGGGAGCGGGCCTTGGCATTATGTTCTACCCATTAAATGTGGTAAAATCACGGGCTCAGTCTCAGGTTGGCGGAGCCTTCCAGCCTTGCAGGCAGGTGCTGTTAACAGTGTGGAGAGAGCGAGGTGGCAGCCTGGCCAAGCTCTTCAGAGGGGCCCACCTCAACTACCACCGCTCACTTCTGTCCTGGGGGATCATCAATGCCACCTACGAGCTGCTCCTCAAGCTCATCTGAGAAGCGGAGCGGAGAGGTGGAAATAGAAATGTAGAGTGAAAGAGAAAGTATTTAACAGGAAAAACCTGTATGGAGAAATAGAGCCAGTTTGAAGAGAGAAATCGTAAAGTAAAGCCGTTGCACTTGCTGTCTGGCACTGGTAGTGGGACAGAGATTCCATGACTGAAAGATAGCGGTGAAGTTGCACTTCTGACGGGGGCCAACAGTCAGTGTAAGATAACCATATGCCATTGTTACTTTTCACTGTTGTCAAAGTGTTAAAAAATAAGACACACTTTAGCCTATACAAAACTTGTGCCAGGGTCCAACTGAAATGACCGCGTTTGCTCTGTGTACAAAAAACTGAAAGGAGCAAATGGACCTCCAATGCTTTTTTTCCCCCCCACAGTTAAAGCGAAAGTTACCTGACTGGATTTGCTGTTTTGTAGGAGAAGCTGTTTCTTTGTATGTGCTGTGTGCTGTGGTGTTTTGAAGACAGTCCATCTGTTTGTTTGACCAAGAGCATGTCCTCTGTGAAGCTAAATTCTGCCACTTTTGTGCTTTTGAAATGCCCAAAGAATTACTGTCAAGGAGATGCTTAAAAACTCTTGGCCACTTTATTCCTGCTCGCTCTCCACCAATTCAGAGTATAAGAGATCAGAAGACTAATGCCTAAGAAATAGCTGAAATCAGTATCTGTGATACCCATATTCTTCAAAATGCCATCAAAACATAGGAAAGTAACATGATGGGCATTTTCTATTTCACACATGATTTATCTATGTGAAATGTTTTGATAAATAATGTTTGTCTTGATCTATTTCCTGAAGTGCTACTGGCAGGGTGTATTGGTTTCAACTGTGATTGAATTTTGACAAGTGCCCATTGATTTATATGTCAGTAAAACATAACTACACCCAGATCTTGTCCATTTTGTAAAGTTATTGGAAGAGAGAAATCCTGTATTTAATTTTAGTTTCTGTTGGAAGAAATCATGAACTGTTGTTGCATTATTAATTGTTGAACTCCTCCTCTTTTGTTGATGGTAAAGCAAAGTGCTCCTCAGTTTTTGTTTTTCTTTTTATAAACTTACTCTGTTTTATTTTATTCATGTATCTCCCTCCTTTTGCTCCCACTTTGATATTTCCTTTCCTCACGCTTGCGCTCCTCTCTGTCTGTAACATCTGTTGACATAATGGGCTCAGATTTCAAGCTTGAGTAGATGCAGTCACCATGCTGCAGCTCTTGCCGGGTACGACAGCCCGAAGAGGAAAGGCATGCTGCTTGGACACTTGAGAGAGGCTACAGAGTAATAGTACTCAGAGAAGACAGGGGCAGAGGGTAATGTTCAGTGGCACAAAAAGCTCAAGCTGCCATGTAAATGGATCACTTGGCCTATTTCTTCAATTCTCTTCATTTTGACTGTCCACAGTGTACCATATTTCATGAGATGTTTTTCAGTATTTTCTAGGATTTCCTCTTCGAAAGTAAGACTTTGTATTTCAAAGTGGGACACCCTTGCTGATGTTAAATGCTGTTTATTACTTTCCTGAAGCACAAGCCACAAGCTCTCTATTAAAATGTCAAATTAACAGTTGCAACTAAATTAAATGTTTAAAATCAATCCGCTATATATGCTGACAGTGAGTAAGTGTGTTATGTGGGAGATTTATGGGGGAAAATACAATATGAGATCATGAGATGATTGTCACGTTTTCTTGAAGAGTAAACTTTACTCACCCAGAAAGATGACAAATGGTGTTTTACTTATGTAATAGACTTACCCATACATCACGGAACCATATGATTTGTGTGTTTTCTGACCTCTGTGCCAGTTGTCTGTATCCAAGTCATGCAATAATAATGTCTCATCTGTCGGACCTGCCCCTTCCCAAATATGCTCTGTAATCCCTTCTTTGTAATCAGTCACACAAACAGCATCACCCAACAATGACGTATTGTAGACCAGATGAACAGACTAAACACTCGTTCATAATGAAGGATGGAGACAACACTTATGCAGACTGAGTGCAGTTTAACACCTCCGTCTGCATTTATTACATTTTCTAGATTTGATTATAGAAATAGCTCCAGCAGCAGGGCCTCACTGTCAGACCATGTTTTTGTATGCATGGGGCAGTGCACAGTGCTACTTCACTTTCTAGATTACTGTGTCAAGAAGTCAGACTGCAGATAATGATCAGATTAAGGACAATCTGACATGGGGACTTTGGATCAGGGAGGGTTTAGTCGCTGTAGTTACAAAGCCTCTCAGCTCTCTGTTTCTTTGCACCCTAACAAGTGTCTCTCTGTCACCAAGGATGAAATCTTACATTTTTAGATTCAAATTCATTATTCAAGAATCTCACTTAATAATAGTAGTGGAAGTGTTGTTCTTATTCAGCTTAGCTGCCTGTGTATTAATAATTCAGAGGCATTACAAGTACCAAATGAGAGAAAGCAAAAGTAGAGCGGAAAAAGGGGGCCTCAGTGCTGAATACATAGATTAACACATTGCCTTCTTGGAAGTGTAGCAAGTCAACATTAAGACAGAAATCCCACAGTAATCCTCATTAACTGCATTAGTCGTGCAGAATGGTACAAATAGCCCAGCCAGGTGAGGTTCATTTTCATTCTCTGATGTTTTCAAAGGATTTTAGGTCTGAATGGGAGCTCAGTCAGAAAGTTTTATGATGTAATAAATAGGACTCCATATTTCTGGATTGAACTTTTGTGACCTGGCTGTTTGTGCATAAAATTGGACACACTTAACAATTCTAGCAGACAAAGAAATTTAAACACGCATTGTTAAGGTCAGTGTGTCATTTATTCCAAAACAATACATTTCTTGGTACATTGACTTCATTGTAACGTGGATACGGAAAAGTGACTGCTTATGTAGAAACACAATGTTCTCTCTGAATATGAAATGCTGTTCATACAAGTTTACCATACAGGAAGAAGTTGATGACACAGGCACTCTCTACTGTTTTAGCCTGCCTGATGAACCACAGGAGACACTCCTGAGACGTGACCAGATGTTTTGATGTTAGTGCTGTGATGGACACTGCTACCGGACATTACCTCCATGGCAATTGGAAGCTCAGGCAAGAGACCTACCCATTTTTATTTTATTTATTTTGTTAAATATAGCCACCTAGACAAAATTTCCCTCAGTCATCAATTTGTAAGATTAAATACACAGCCTATCTCCTTGCGCCTGTCTCTGAACTCTAAAGCTGTCTTTATTTCAGCTAATCCCCTTATCATATTTGTATAAGCAACTGCTGACTGATTTGGCTTAATTACCTTCCTGTTGTCATAGGTGGCTCAAGTAAATCCTTCAAATCGGATGGCTCATCAAATGAGCTGGCATCATGTGATATGGACGATCTGACTAGTGAACACTGTACATCAGCAAACTGATCGAGCAATGTAATCCTTGTACTGACAATTCACAGACATCAGTATAGACAGGAGTCTTAATATTGACAAATGCTAATGCCATGCAACCTTGCAAAACGTTGCAATCCATAATGCAGAATTTTTTTTTTTTTTCTGAAACAAGACAAAAGCCAACATTCCAAACAAAGAAAGCACCCATTATATTCAAACAAACATAATGCAGCTATTGTTGTTTTTAATGTTAGCACAAAAAACATAAATATAGTATGCAGGGGTTGAGGAGTTTATGTTTGCATAGCCATAAACTAAGGTAGGGACAGAATAGGACACAGAGATATACATGTATATCTACAGTTCTGACCCCAGCATACAGCAGTCAGTCCATCCGTCAGTCAGCATGTTATTAATAAAATGGTGAGTGCCAAAAGAGGAAACCATAGCAGGGAACAGTTGTGGCTCAGTGTTTTAAGACTTTGGATCTTTGCTACATCTGGACAGAGTTTAACAGTCACCCTTGTGCCTAGTTAAAAATATTTTTTAACTACATAAACATTTTAACCCTGTTTTGCTGCCTGGGCCCCACCCACACATTCCCAGAAAATATATATGTATGTGTCCTTTGGATGAAAACTAGATTAATGTTATAATACTGCATACGTTTGGGTAATGGGAGTATTTCCAAGAAGCATTCACTCAGAGTCAGTTTGAACAGGGAAGGGGTAGAAAAAACACTTTACACAAGGGTATGTGTCTCGTAAAAAGGTGCAATCTGTAACAGTCAAAAGTGCTCTCCCTGCTGTGTAATGGTATAGTTTTGTATCCCATTTAAATGTGACTGTAATGTTGAAAAACTAAATCCTTAAAAAGGTGCAAACGCTGCACATATAAAACAAATCAGTCAATTACTATATTTTGCACATGATAAAGTCTGTTTTCTGTATTTTGTCAGTATACGCACTGTAATAATAATAATAATAAACTTGAAAAATGACAATTTACAGATTACACCTTGTGGAGTGGAGAAATCTTTAAAGCAGCAAAAGATAACATAATACTGTCTCAAAGAGAAGGAAAAATAAAAATTCCAGTGACATCCATAGTTTTTTTTTTTCCTCACCAAAGACCTGAACATCACAGATCATGGTGCAAATATTGTAAAAATAAATACATAAATACATACATGGGTTATCCATCCTTACATACATACACATATTGTATCATAAAATAAGAGAATTATAAGATAATTATAAAATTCGTATGTACAAATGCATAGTCCATATGCGTCCAAAGAGAGGCCGAGCAATTAAATTTCCTCTCATCGTCTAGTGTTATGTTTGGTGTATGTGTTTCCATGTGGGTACGTGTAGTGTGGGTATGTGTGTGCTGTGGTGTGCATGGCACTTACTGCACAAAAGCACAGGAGTTACACACCAGATAGCTCTGTGCTGTTTCCTCTTGTCCCACCTCGAGTCAGTGGGTTATTAGTGGTTAAAAGTTCACAGGTCAAAAGTTGAGAGGTACGTGGCCAGGTGTGTCCGAGGGATCTAGTGTGCGTGTCCGGAAGAGCTGTGTGAGTGCGAATACAGAAGAGATGAGCACAGTGCAGCGTTTGGCAAGTAGCCTCACCCCGTCACCCTCCCCCTGACCCTGTCCAGACCCAGTGAGGCCCGCAGTTTTACTCCCGATTCCACCACCAGTTCCAGCTGTCTCAACGGCCCCAACAAACTCTCGGTACAGACTCACTATCTCCCTTAGCTTGTCCATGGCCTCCTGGCCGTCATCATCCTCATCCCTGTTGAGCAGACTTGCGTTATGGCAGACATCACAACCAGGGCAGGAGTTTGTTCGCAAGCAGGCTGCTGACAACTGAACCAGGGCGCTGAAGCTGTTTGACAAAGAACGTAGAGCTTCATCGGGTGCCCAGCCTACACGTGTGGCCCGCTGACACCCCGATGCCAATCGTCGAGCCTCTGCTTGGAGAAGACTCCTTTCAGCCTCTGTCAGCGTGGAAGGGCTTGTCCCAGTACAACTTAGGCTTTGGGCTGGGGTAGTGCTGTCGTCAGTTCCATTGTGATTTAGGTCAGGCTCTCCTTTTATGCCTGTGCTACCCTGCTTTAACTCTTGTGATGATGTTTGTTGTGTTTGCTCAAGTGGTCCTCTCTCTAAGACAAGAAGAAGTTGATCTATATCTTGCCGAAGAGAGGCAAAGCCTCCCCTCAGCCCACCATAATTCTTGTTGGTAAGTGAACGAAGGGGACCACCTACTGAAGTTGTAGGAGAAGCTGGACGTGAAACTAGAGGACTGAGTTCAGAGGAGGCAGTGGAGAAAGTAGACAGTGGGCGTGGGTTGTCCCGCAGCAAGGACAAAATGTTGGGTTTTGGTGATGGTGTTGTTGGAGAAGGGACAGGTGCGGGTCGTGCAGGTTTGGGGCGTATTCGGCGGGAAAACTCATAAACAGTAAGCTCCTCGTCAAAGCTGACACCATCCTCTGTGTCTCCACTGAAACAATTGGCGTAAACAGTGCGGCAGCCACAAGCTTCCCGGTGTTGCTGTGGAGGAGTAGTGTCAGCAAGTGAGGAGGTTGGTGAGTCACCTCCAATTTGCATATCAGACACACCTCCTAACCCTACTGCTGAATGAGGTCTTGACTGCGGCTGCTCTGATGAAACACTGCCACTAAGTACACTATTTTCTCTAAAACTAAGATTAGGGTGTGAGCCATTTGTGCCATTGGCGTTCTTCATGTGTGAGGTCACTTCCTGGGCCTCTTTTATGGTTGCTATGACAACCTCAGCTCCATCCTCTAAAATGTTCCCTTTACTTCCTGAATTTGAGATCCCCGTCTCTTTGTCCTTGACAGGAGTTTTGTTTAAGTCTGATAAACCACTGGCTACAGACAAACCAGAGCCAAATCCAGATGTGTCCCCATTGATGGAGCTAGTGGAGGGATAGTCAAGAGTTCCTAGAATCTCCTGTGACCGGGTCATGTACCAAGGCAGAGCCTGAATCTTCCCTCTTAGAGCAGAGGCTGGTAGTCTGCCTCCCAGGCTGGAGGAGCTGGTTCTCAGGTCAGACCCAGAACCAGATCTTCCAGGTTCTCTGCCTTCCAGGCCTCCGACACCTTGAGAGTTGGTTGAGGTGAGGGAGGTGGTAAGAGTGAGTGGTGCATCTGTATTTTTAGGTGATAGGCTCTCATGGCTCAGAGAAACCCTCCTAGGTCCTGACTGGATGTTGCCATTGCGGCTGCTCCAAGGGTGGATTCCATTTGGTGGACTGACGGTATCCTTAAAGATCCCTTTGCCTGGATCAGTAGGTGAGACAGGAGAGCTAGCAGGTAGTGATAAGGGGTGAAGATTGGTGGGAGAAGTGGGTTTGGGAGGCACCGGAGGGGGAATAGCTAACTTGGTACCTGAATTTGAGTGAGGGATATGGGGTAGGCTTGGCTTTTTTGTTAGTAAGTCATTCACATTGCTTTTCCCCTCAACGTTAGGAGTTTCCTTTTCATCTGCAATGTTTGTTTTGTCTTTGGAAACAACATGTGCTCCATTTTCACGTGGAAGATCCTTATTCGGTTTTGGGCTGTTTTCTTGCCTTTTTGTCTTTTCCTCAGCTTGTGTAGTTGTGATGGGAAGTGGCTGCTTGCTGCACCGCACTGCTGTGATCAAAGACGATGACAGAGGCAATCCACCCGAAGTAACAGACTTAAACTCCATGGTGTCTGGCTCCATTTCCAGGAGTTCAGAAGATAAACGTCCAGAGGCATCCCCATTGCATTGGGCGTATGATCTCCCATGCTGGGGGGACTTGGGAGGAATGATCTGAGGTTTGGGAGGCAGCTGGGGCTTTGGTGCCAATGGTGGTTTGATCTTAACTTCAGGCTTCTGGGATGGCTTTGGAGGACTGGGTTGCTGGCTGACTAGTTGATTTAAGGGGCTTTTAGGTGTTACTGTTTCCTTCTTGATTTTACTGGACTGGGCTTTATTAGCAAGTGGGGATGACGGTTCTTTCCTTGGCACAGCTGGAAGACCATTCCAGGTTCCACTCAGACGATTAGCATTTCGCCGATCAGCCAGCTCAGCGTCTGTGAGAAACAGGGAAATCAAAAGAAAAGAGAAATCCATCAATGGACTAAGCTACCTCTTTTAATCCAATGTTTAAGTATTGTCACATGTTGCTGTTACTTAAAAAAAACTAATATGCTACCTCAGACAATGGACTAACACAAAAGAGTGACAAGGATAAACTGTCTTGTTCATCTGCAAATTGCTATTCAAAATGCTTTATACAAACCTGATAGATCAGGGACTGGTGGAGTAAATCTCTCCTGTGCATCAAAAAACTCATCCTCAGACTCTGAAACATTGTCTTTGACCAAAAGAGCTGGTTTGGGGTTGGGAGACGGTGTCAGAAATAGACCCTCTTCGTCTTTAGACAGACGGTGCTCTGCGTGTCCTGCTTTGTTCCCAGGAATCGAACTTGTCCTTACTGGGACTTTGGGAGGGATCTTTTTCTTCTTTTTAATAGGGGATCTTTGAAAGGGCATGCTGTCAATCATTCTCAAGTCTCTTGAACTAGGGATTTTAGAAATGCGTCTAAGTCCAACCAGTCCCTGTTCTTCCTCCTCGTCATCATCATCGTCATCATCACTAGTAGCCTCAGGCGGGCTGGGTAGGAAATCAGCCTTGGAGAGATCAGCAAAACAAAGACAAGAGTTGTCGTTGCCACGGTAATTGAGATTGGTGGGTCGCAGGGGCCCTTGGTGCCGTTTTGGCTCCAGGAGGTAGGGGTGGTGAACATCCAAGCTTGGAAGATCCTCGGCTGTGCGTGGTCCACGAAGAGCATCCAGGCGAGATGAGGCTTTGGCGGCAGCACTGCTCTCCTCCAGGGCAGCGCTCAGGGAGCCACTGGACAAGCTGGAAAAGCTGCTGGTGACCCGAGGGTCAGTGTGGTACCAGGTGGTCTCCAGGTTCATTTCTTCATCCATGACACTGAATTTACGCAGACCACATCCTGTTGCCCCTCCTTCCTCTTCACTCTCATTTTCCTTACCTTCTGTTGTCACTATTATCTTCACTTCCTGTTTGCCTTTGTGCTCCTCCCTCTCTTTTCTCTCTTCTTCTCTCCTCTTTTCTTCCTCCTCTCTCCTCCTTTCCTCCCAGTCCTGACTTGCTGGATCTGGACGTTTGTAATTCTGAGAATCCATTGGGTCATCCTCATCTGTTGAGTCATCTGAGTCACTGCAGCAGCGAGACACATAACCTAATAACACCAGGAAAAAACAGAAACACCAGACAAGCATAGCAAAGAATGAGTTAGTGCTTTGGCATGACAGAATGATGTTTAATTCTGATAGTATAATATGGCAGTCTTTTCTATCCGTACCCGTACTGGCTGGTGACATACATCAACATGTGATGTGAAAAATGTCTATCAAAAGGCCAAAGCCAGAAAGTGATTGTTTTAAGTGAAACAGTTTTTGCTCACTTGATAGGGATTCATAGCACACGCCTTCTATTACGGCGAACCTCCCACACACACCTTCTTCAGCAGGAATCCGGTGCACCCTCACTTTTGGGCGCCCCAGACGGAAGACATTAACACTGGGATCCACCAGGAGTTTGCAGTAGCCTCCCAGCAGACACCCTAAGTCTTTGGCTGCCAGAGAGTCCATCAGTAAGGCAAATGGCTGAGAAAGGGAGGGCAATACAGAAGATAAGGTAAAGCAGTAGTGATTAAAGCCAAAGGGTAAGGGGGGAAAAGGCGAAGGAAGTGGGAGAAAGAGGAAGATATGGTCACCTTTGAGTCAGTGAATTAGCATTGTATAGTTACCACACACTCCCTCAGGCTGCATATTGTTGTATGTTGTATGTGTGTTGGCGGAAGAATGGCTGACCTATATTTACTCTCACATGATCTGTGGTGCGACTATAGTGTGTTGAGTGGATACCCATTTGTGTCAACAGAGCCTAGTATCTCGATAAATGTGTCTGTGCATCCTGTGCCTTCCATACCTTCATGTCATGCAGTGAGATGCGCAGTAGGCTGACTTTGTCCGACTCCGAGAGCAGCTCCACTCGGCTGATGCTGCTGAACTCGACCAGTGTAGAGATCACATTAAGCTTGTGGTTTATGACCTGGCTCATTCCATACTTGGCTCCCACAAGCAAGCTGACCAGCACTTCCCTGTCCTGAAGCTGAGTGCAGGTGAAAGAAGAAAATGTGAAAGATGAAAGAAAATACAAAAGAATAGTAAATGAAGTGTACGCTTAAATGGACCTACCACACTACATAAGGCTCTTAACCCTTACCATCATTGTAGCTGTGTAGGAACGACCTCCATATGAGATGAGCTCTCCCAGCTGAGTGAGGTAGGCCAACCGAGCCTGACTGGCAGATATTACCTATGACAACATAGTAGACATGGAAGAAGATAGGAGAGTTGCAGAGATAGCAGAAAACTTGGAGGAATGTTCAAAAATATACTTTAGTCATATCCCCAGCAACATTACCCAAGGCCCAGACCTACTGTTCCTCTTTTATGTAATTACCTTCCCACCCACCATCAATCTTTCTCCCAACCTGCTGTCACTCCATGTCTCACTTTAAACCTCGGGGAGATTAGCAGACGCTGTAAGTGTCAGCTAAAAAGTACCCCAAAGCCACTACTAAACTCTCACTATCTGTCTCTTTACGCCTGTCAATGCTTCGTTCCACTCATCCATCAATCTGCGGCTACCTTCTGGCGTGGCTCGAGCAGGGACTGGATCTTTTTGAGGTGGTAGCTGATGGCTTTCCTCAGGTCCTTCTCCCTCATGTTGCTCAGTAGTGTGGGAGAGATGAAGCTGTCCAGACCAAACTCCTTTCTGCAAACAGCAAATGCACAGAGGAATGAAAATCACTCTGTACTTACGGAAGAACTCTGTCATCTCTGTGGCTGCTGAAACTGGACCACAGTGTCCACATTGTGCAGCTTAGTTCACTGAATACTGACAAAATATTGTTGCAGCATTTAAAAACAAAAGGGAGCTTCGAACTCAGAAAAAAGTGCAATTGTAGGTCAAAACATACAGTATGACAAAAGTAATAACCAGATACCAAGTTCCAAAGAATCTGTTACAGACATTTCAACGATACTTGGTCTTTCTCATGGCAAATGACCGGTTCTGAGCAGGACGTATAATGTTTTCACTTCATTGAATTGGGCTACTTTAAATGGTTTGCCTCAGCTTTATTTGTATTCTCGTTTGATATATCTATTTGCATGCAAAATATATTCTTAGCTACGCATAAAAATCAATATTTCAAATGAAATAATTTATTTATCCCTAAATTGTAGCAAACGAACAGTAAACTGATGCCAGCATGCTACCACATACACAAAATCACACACACAACATGCTATAATAGTCTCTGCTGTGGTTTCTGGTCTGGTAAATGGTCTGCACTTACAGTGTGTTTCTCATTCACCCATTCACACACACATTCATACACCAATGGTGAGCTGCCATGCAAGGTGCTGCCTGCCATTGGGACAAACCCTATGATCAGAGCACAACCCACTCTACCACCTGAGCCACAGCCGTCCTGGTCTGGTTGTCTTAACTTTTGTACTACAATATTATTCATTTTACTCTGTCCCTGTATATGCTAATTACAAAATCACCTCTCTGCTGTATACTAGTATTTACCACAACAATTTGTACAGCACTGCACACTTTTAACATTTAGTTATTATTTATGTCACCACAATTTATAATGCGTAGCTTTTTGAATTTCCCTCACGAACAATTAAAGGATTTATCTGTCTATCTGGTTTTGTCATACAGACCTAGTAACCCTGACACCAAACAGTGTTATATGCATTACATTACATCACTTTGCATGTAATGGAAAAGATATACTAAACAATATTTCAAATAATCCTTTTCAGGTCTTATCTCCATGGTAATTAGCAGCACTTACAGTAAGTAGCTTTAACTTCCAAAAAAATAAATAAATAAATAAATAAAGTTATTACAAGATTTACTAAAACACACACTAAAAAAGCAACACTGTAATATTGTATTTTTAACACACCTGCCACAAGGTAAACTGGCATATTTTAAATGACCCTTCATCTGCCTACATCTACAGAACACAGAGGAATTTATAACTGACCTGGTGTACCTTAGCATGTTAATGTATGAGGTGGTTCTTTAGGAAATGGGTTTATGCATACATGTTTGTGTGTACTTTGAGACACTTCCACACACAGGTAATAGGACAAAAACACATTGCTGTTCACACAACATTTTCCATCACATTAATAGATTAGGTATTTAGAGAGCAGCCTCATCCCAGACAAATCACAATAATTGCAGCAGCAGAAAAAAAACTCCAAACCCCTACATCAACAATATTACGCTAAACCTTTAATGACAAGCGCAGCACCCAGAGGCATCCTTCCAGCGTGACCCTAAAATAACACACACACATGACTCACGTAATACTCTTGATAGAGGCCCTGGTCTGTCCACAACTATCTAGCCTCTCGTGCATGTGCAGGGCAGCCAGGCGGAGTGCAGTGTTGCACTTCATCTCTACTGCAAAACGCTCCTGTAGCACGTCTCCAACACTCTGTAAACAAACACAATCACAGTGTCACACAGACATGACAAATGCAAACACACATTTCAGAAAACTGAAAAGCGCGATCGTCTTTGTATTTACTTGTACAATCCCCCAACATGCACTTTATGTCAGACATTGGAAAATACACAACTCTTGAGCGTATTTAAGTCAACCAAGTGGGAACCCCAAACTGTCAGCAAAAAACAAACACAGCAGGAAGTCAAGATTACTTTTAAAACAATAATCAACGTGACATAAGCAGCACTCCCATGGCTTTACTGTGCAACAAAAACATGCAAAGACTGTGTGAGTACTTTGAGGTTTTTCATGCAGGGTTAGAATCCACTCTCAGAGCTGAGCTTCATCAAAGTCAGTATCTGTCTGGTACATACAAGGGATGGCCAAGTTTACTATTGACTCAAAGAACCGCAAATTGCTAACAAGGCCACAGCATAAAATTATATGAGATTAGGCGAGTTTTGAACTAATATCAGAAAGAAACAAGGAGCAGCTGCATGTTAACTTCAAATATGACTCACGTTGACTTTGATACTCGCACTATTTTTGTTATTTATTTTGGCCCAGGTTTAAAGCACACTCGATGAAATTGCCAGATCAACGTCCACCCAAACATCTAATATACAACCACAAGTCTGCAATCTATTTTTTTTCTTCCTATATGTGCATTTAGGCTTGTTTTTTTGTGCATGGGAGAAAGGAGCTCGTGTCTGACTGTGAAACTCAAAGCGGAGGTCTTTCAGATGGACAAAGACCAGTATAAAACTGTGCTGCAGATATGAAATGTGGCTTCTCTGACCTGTAAAAAGAGGTACTCAAAGGCAGAGGGGTCATCCTGCAGCATGTCCACGGGGTCTCTGGGGATGAAACAAACCCTGAACAGACATCTGTAATCATGGGAGTCTTTTTTCTGCACCACCTGGTGAAGACAAAAGATAGAGGTGTAAACATGTAGAAATCTTAGCTGGAGTGATTTGTCTCATCAGTGGGTCCAGTTTGACTGCATCACTTGAAAGTTCTGTTAGATTACTCTTAAATAAAGCCATCCACAGCTATTATATGTTTGTGTGCAGCTTTATCTGTTGTTTTCCTTCACCTTCTGTATGAGCTCATCTTCATGCAGTAGCAGTAGTTTGGTGATGCTGTACTGTTGCTCTAGCACCAGGGCAAAGTACTCAATGGCCCGGATGGACAGTTTATCCTTCAGAGTCAGGACAATGTCCTGGAATGATGAAAAAACAACAGTTCAGGCCTCTTAGACAAACATGTTTCATCCCAGTCTGCTGATGGCAGATGGACACATCTGACCCCCCCCCCCCCCCCCAGCCCTCCTTTAGCAGGGGAATACAAACTGAAATACAAATACAAAATCTGTTATAACAATAATCATGCATTCATAAAGGCAACAACAGACATCCTATTAGTTTGCTGTCTCATTATGCTAATTATACAGAGTGCACTTTCTGTCTGCCAACAAGACTTTGAAGAATATATGGAGAATTATTCAGCTTATGCCCTCTCAACAGTTACTCTCACTGTATAATGGCCCTGAATCACCATACAGTCTTTGCCTCACTTTTAAATGTTTTATAACCTCCTCCTCCAGACACAATATTATTTTTTAATGTATTATTCTATCATTAAGAACAGCAACAACAGCTACAGCCTACCCACACTCTGACACCTTTGGGGCAATTCCACCATGAATTGCAGTGTGCTTAATTGCAAACTACACCCACTCATTTCTAGGAAGGCTCATGCTTGGTCTCATGACGCTCGTGAGAAACTGAGGGGGCTTGTGATCGGATCTTCTGAGGATATTATGATAGCTATCAGAAATAATATGTAAGTATATTCAGCTTATTCAGCTCTGTATACACCAGGGAATGCAAGAGAAGAATGGTTTCATGTCATTGGCCTTCATACAAACACAATGGTATTGATGTAGCCATGTCTTGGGCCAGTGATGTGCATCATATAACTATTCATCTCCCACTGCAAGTGAACATGTAGTGTCACTGTTGTGGCCTTTTAAATTTTGAAATCAAAATTCTGACCTTTTGCTACAGGCCACAGAGAGCTTCAAATACTCTCCTTGTAAATCTTTCTAACTGCCCCGAGTCGAACACATACCTTGACAGTGGTATTATTGTCGAACTTGAAAGCCTTGGTCTGTCCATTCTCTAAATAGACTTTTAGGACGTTGGGCAGGAAGAGAAGAGAGTTTCCCTGGTAGAGAGACGTTAGAGGTGTGATTAGATGAGATCAACATCAAATGAGAAAAGATAAAATAGGAAAAAGGCTGCCTGACAGCTTAGAAGATAAGACCAAATAAAGAATATTCAAAAACTGTGATAGATCCAGAAATGAAAGTAATTCATCAGAGGCTAACAGCAGCCTTCCTCCTACATCAGATAAGATTTTCCCACCTGAGTGTGCCCATTGACCACCACCTCCTCCGCAAAGCGCACTTTAACTGGATTACTCCTCAGACGAGCTCTCTTCTCTGCTGACATAATGGATGACTTGGGATTCTGCAACACACCGACACATCGCTGTCATTGCTGTATGTCAAATTTGGACCGTGAACTAAAACACACAAACTCAATACAGTGCAGTGACACAATTAATTCTGAGATCAACAAACTCTGACATGCAAACAGCCTCAGATATACTGTAAGGGTTTGACACGCACATGTTTACATTCACGCATCACGATGCAATGTGAAGCAATTTAAAGGCAGTTAATCCTGTCAGAAAGATGCAAACCTACTGCCATGTGCTTTAAAACACACAGACAGCTTATGTTTAAATCAAGGATGGTGCAATGTGCAAATGTGTATGTGTGTGTTCGTGTTGAAGGGAGGTCATCAATGTCTTCTTTGTACTCACTGTCATGTGTCGAAGGATAGTCACATTGATGCAATCCTCCAAGTCCCTGGGGAGAAGGGGGGGAAAAAATGCCCATTTGAACACAACACATGCATCGTAGAGAGAAAGAGAGATCATTATCTTTGTGTCCAGCTGTCAAGTAAGCATTTTCTCCACTGACCCTTGCCCCTAACTTGTTAAGCCTTTCACAAGCACACACTCACACATGAATCATCCAACGCTCAGAAATTCACTCCAGAAAACATCTATGACAGAGCATTTAGTCACCGAATGGACCAGATGCACTGGTTTCAGTAACTTTCTGAGTTCTCACAGTCCCAAAAATGCAGATACATAAGTAGATAGATGGCTGAAAATTTGAAAGAAAAAAACACAACATATGTAGACACCACCAGATGTCCAGTTGGTTCAGATTTTTTATACCAAGATGGCAAGAGGAAAAGATTTAAGTGGCTTTGAAACAGGGTTCATTGCTGGGGAGCGGATGGCAGGAGCTTCAGTCACAATGACTGCTTAGCTGGATAGTGTTTTTAATAGGAAAAATAAGTAAAGTGGTATCTGCATTTAGATCTATGTCAAAGATGTCAGAAAAGAGAAAATACATAGTAAATGACTGTGTTGCTCGTGCATGAATATTCAAGGAAAAACAGAATCTCTTCCTCAGGTGACTAAGAATAAAAATGCAGCATTGTGATCAGGCTGTCAGCATCAACAATCCATCAACAATCACACAGAGAGGGATGTTGTAGTAGTGTTGCTGTGCAAAAAGCATGCATTCGATGAATGCACATGTAGTGGTGAAAAAACTAGAGGCACTGGTCTATAGAGATGTAGAAAAAAAACGCGTTGTTGTTAGACGAGGGTTCTTTTACTATGATCTCGACAAACGGATGAGTGCATATGTGGCATTCACCAAAAGAACAGCACATGCCTGAAACCTTGATCCCTGCAGTGAGAGAATATGGTGGTTCTGTTATGCTGTGAGGGGCATTATTTATTTATTTTTTGTTTGGCATGATTTGGGTGCAAGTCAATACAAAGTTGTTCTAAATGATCACATTTCATATCCTATGATGAAAATGTATCCTGATGGGAGTGGTCTC